TTGGGTAAAGGTAGATTTCCCTAAATTTGATGGGTCAAATCCTAGAGGATGGATTCTCAAATGCCATGGATATTTCCAGATTATTCCTAATATTCCTGATGCACAGAAAATTGTGTTAGCTTCTATGCACTTTGAGGGCAAGGCAGCTCAATGGTACCAGACCTTCTGTACCAAATTTGAGGGTTGTACATGGCAACAATTTTTGGAGATAATTTCTTCCAGATTTGAAGAAATTAGGGAATCTAAAATTATTGGTGAATTTAACAAGCTGAAACAATCAGGACCCTATGAAGACTATGTGGAGAAATTTGAGGAATTAAGGTCCTGTATGTTGTTGTTCAACAGGGGTGAATTCTCTGAGGATTACTTTGTTGCAAGTTTCTTAAGTGGTCTGAGTGAGGAGGCTCAATCTTTTATCAACATCTTTGATCCTAAAACCTTGCAGCAAACCATTGAGCTGGGAAGGAAACAGCAGTGCACAGTAGATGCAATAGTAAAAAGGGTTAAGGTCCCTCATAAACCCCCAAATCATTTCCTAAACAACAGAAAAACTGACTTTCAAGCCTCTAAAATCCCCAACACTGGTGGTCAGTATAAACCACCAATCAAAATGTTGACAGCCCATGAAATGGCAGCAAGGAGAGAAAAAGGTTTATGCTATAATTGTGATGAACCTTATGTGGTGGGGCATAGGTGCAAAAATAGGATAAATTATATGATCATGACAGAGGATGAAGAATTTTCCTATCTGGGCTTGAAAGGGGAAACTGATGAAACACAAGAGGGAATTAACATTGAAGAAATACAAATGTCTTTGAACTCCCTCACACGGGGACAAAATCTAACCACCATGAGGTTTACTGGAGAGTGTAATGGGCACAAGTTACACATACTCATTGAGACTGGAAGCACTCTGAGTTTTATTCAAGAAGGCACAGCTCAAAAGTTAGGCTGCTCACTTCAATCAGTCAAACCAGTTATGGTCAAAGTGGCTAATGGGCAGAGAATGGTGAGTTCTCAGAAGGTGGATGGCTTTAAATGGGAAATGCAAGGTCACTGTTTCAGCTATTCCATGAGATTGTTGAAGACTGAGGGCTGTGATCTTATTTTGGGAGGGGATTGGCTTAAAGCCTGCACACCCATCACTCTAGATTATGATAAGATGACAATCACTGTTACAACGCAAAGGAAAAAGATCAAGCTACAAGCCATCACTTCTAAGGAGGATTGCAATCTCATTTCAGAAGAGGCATTATTCAAATTGGTGCACCAAGATAGCACTCAGATTGAGGAGATTTTTCTGTTGTCCATTGAAGATGACAACCAAAGGGTGGATCCTAGGTTACAGGAATTACTCTCCCACTTTGAAGACATCTTTAAGGAGCCAAAAGGGTTGCCACCAGAGAGAGGAATAGAGCATCAAATCATCCTTAAGGCTGACAGCATACCAAAGCATTAGTTTCGTTATAGGACTTCTCATGCTCAGAAAAACGAAATAGAAAAGCTGGTCAATGAAATGCTAGAGGCAGGAATCATTCAAAACTCAAAAAGCCCTTTTGCATCACCTGTGATTCTAGTAAAAAAGAAAGATAATACCTGGAGGATGTGTGTGGACTACAGGTATTTGAATGGTCTCACAGTTAAGCATGACTATCTAATTCCCATAATTGATGAACTGCTAGATGAGATGCATGGTTCCAGGTACTTCTCTAAAATAGACCTAAGGTCTGGCTACTTTCAGATTTTGATGAAAGCAGAACACAGAGAACTCACAGCTTTTGCCAGTCATAATGGTCACTATGAGTTCTTGGTTATGCCATTTGGCTTGTGTAATGCACCGGCCACTTTTCAATCATTAATGAACCAGGTTTTCAGACCCTATTTAAGGAAATTTGTGTTGGTTTTCTTTGATGACATATTAGTCTACAGTCCCTGTTGGCAGACACATCTAATGCATTTGGAGACAGTACTAAGGCTCCTAAGGGAGAATCAGCTGTATGCTAAGTTGTCTAAATGCCAGTTTGGTCAGACTGAGGTTGAGTATCTTGGACACATCATCACTCATCAAGGTGTAGCTATAGACCAAAGAAGATTTTGAGTATGCTAAGTTGGCCAAATCCTAAAAACTTCAAGCAACTCAGGGGTTTCTTGGGGTTGACAGGTTACTATAGAAGATTCATTAAAGGTTATGGTGTCATTTGCAAGCCCATGACAAATGTTCTTAAAGGGGAAAAATTTGTTTGGACCAAAGAGGCAGGGAAGGCTTTTCAGCAACTAAAGGAGGCTTTAACTTCAGCTCCTGTCCTGGCCATGCCAGACTTCACACAACCTCTCATTTTAGAGACTGATGCTTGTGGCACTGGAGGTGGGGCTGTTTTAATGCAGCAGGGCAGACCAATAGCTTACATGAGCAAAGGACTCAGCCAGAAAAATCAAGCATTGTCCATCTATGAGAGGGAATTCTTAGCTGTCTTAATGGATGTCCAGAAATGGAGAGGATACTTGCTGGGACATAAATTTGTCATCAAAACTGACCAGCAAGCTCTTAAGTACTTATTGGATCAAGAATCTATGAATCCTATGCAACAGAATGGATCACTAAGCTCTTGGGCCTAGATTATGAGATTATGTACAAAAGGGGGATAGAAAACAAAGTGGCTGATGCTCTGTCCAGAAGGGACAACCCTGACATTGAATGTTTGGCTATCACAACCCTCAAACCTTTGTGGATGCAACAAATCATTGACAGCTATGGGCAAGATCCTTTTTGCCAAAAGATCCTTCAAGCACAATCAGCAAATGGGGATCCTTACCCAGGGTTTGCAGTTCAGGGTGGACTCATAAGGTTTAAAGGGAGAGTCATGGTAGGGTCTGATGTGTTCTTAAGGGAGAAACTATTGCACACTATGCATAATTCTTCCTATGGGGGACATTCAGGAATTAATGGCACCTACATGAGACTAAAAGGAAGCTTTTATTGGCCCCTACTAAAAAAGGATTTTGTGGCATGGGTAAAGTCATGTGAAGTTTGCAAGAAAAACAAACCTGAGGCTGGGGCTTATCCTAGGCTACTACAACCTCTACCCATACCTACTCAAGCCTGGACTCACATATCCATGGATTTTATTGAAGGCTTATCAAAATCACAAGGCAAAAATGTGATCCTGGTTGTGGTGGATAGATATTCCAAGTATGCACATTTCTTGCCCCTATCTCATCCCTTTTCAGCACAAGATGTGGCTAAGGTTTTCTTAGATTCTATCTACAAGCTACATGGACAACCTATAAGCATTGTCACTGATAGGGACAAGATATTACTAGCCATTTTTGGAAGGAACTTTTTAAATTGATGAGAGTAAGCTTGGATATGACTTCAGCCTACCATCCACAATCAGATGGTCAAACTGAGAGGGTGAACCAGTGTGTTGAGACCGATCTCAGATGTATGGTGCATGAGAACCCAAAGCATTGGCTAAAGTGGCTAAGTCTGGCTGAATATTGGTATAACACCAACTTTCATACCAGCTTAAAACTCACTCCTTTTCAGGTCTTGTATGGGTTTCCCACTCCTAACTTTGCTACTGGGCCTTTTCTAGATGCAACTAATGCAGATGCTCATGACATGATTCTACAAAGGCAGCTAATTTCTCAACAAGTTAAAGAGAATTTGCAAAAGGCACAGCACAGAATGAAATATTTTGCAGACCAACACAGGCAAGAAAGAAGTTTTGAAATTGGGAATGAGGTTTGCTTAAAACTGCAACCGTTCAAACAGAATTCAGTGTCAATGAGAAAAAATCTTAAACTCTCATCCCGCTATTTTGGACCGTATACAGTCTTGGAGAAAATAGGTTCAGTGGCATACAAGCTTGACTTGCCACCAGATTCGAAAATACACCCTGTTTTCCATGTTTCATTGCTAAAAAGAAAGGTAGATCTCAAAAACTTACCTTCTACAGAGCTCCCTGATGTCGATATCGATGGCCACTTCAAGATCTTTCCTTTGCACATTGTGGATACTCGTACAATCCGCCGCAAAGGAACAACCGTTGCTCAATCACTAATCCAATGAGCCAATGCCGATCCATCACAGCCAACCTAGGAGGATGATTCATATCTCCGCCGGAAATTTGCTGACTTGGGACCTTGGGGACAAGCCTCGAGCTCGGCCGGGGGTATTGTGATGAACGGCGAGGAAGATGGCCAGGAACCGCCAGTGGTCGAAGAAGAAAGGGGAAAGGTCGTAACTTTAGGGCTAGGGATTTGAGTTATTTCTGAAAACGTGAGAATTTACTGGTTAAGTTTGTTAAGTTTTATATTGGTAGTTGGGCCATGTTGTTTGGGCTTTATTTACTTAGTGGTTGGGGTTTTATATTAAACATGTTAAATTGGGCCGGTTAGGGTTTGATTTGTTAGCCCAATTAACTATTCCTATTTATAGTTTCATTCGGTGAAGTAAAGGACAAGAAAAATGTCATTTTCTCTAACTACTTTCTCTCTCTTCTCTCTTTCTCTCTCTACACGCTTCCTCTCATCTTCTTCTTCCCAATCAACTCATTTTCAAGCTAAATTACAGTAAATAATATCAGAAAAATACACAAAATATATCAGCCCACTACATAAACCTTGACACCTTGTGTTATCAAAATTTATAATAACAACTGTTAGAATATCACTTGTGAGTTGTCTCACATCGTTCATATATGGAAAATAGACTCAATTTATAAGACTAATGAACTACTCCTCGTTCCACCAATTAGTTTTGAGATGGAACCCTACTTGGATTTTATATGAGTTTTCCCCGTTCATAGTGCACTTCATGATAGTAAGCCTGCACCTATTTTTCCCAGTTTCTGGACATGTAAGAAAGCATAGTGTATTGAAGAATTATGAAATACATATTTTTATGGTGCCAAAAAGGCAAAAACCATAACAATGACATGCTTTAAAAAACCATCATGTATGCATTGTTACATACATAAATGCTATGCATCACAGAATTCTGCAAAGGGCGACGCACTTAGAAAACATCACGAAATTGAAAATCACCAACATATGAGTCTTGAATAATTTCGTGACATCAAGTTTCACAAATTTACTAATTTAACATTGCAACTCCTTATACTTTAAACATAGGTAAATATTTGGTGACAGCTAATAAAAATCACTAACAGAAAATGTAAACATCCCCTCTCGTACACGTAATAAGATAACGACATACATAATAAACATGCGTACAGACAGAAACAAAGCATGCAAGCAAACGCATCGACACTTCCATTGCGCAACACAAAAGAGGTTCAAACGCCTACGCACAAAACAGTGGATAGACGGGGGGTTTTCACAACTTTGACCCCTAAACTTACCCCAAAATCCGAGTAAAATTCACGCTATCCACCAACTGAAGCCCGATTGAAGACTGAAGGCCTAAACCTACCATTTATATACAGATGGAAGATTTTAAGATTGAGAAAGTGGCATTTTGCTTCCATCTCCAAACCATATTACTAGAAGAACTGGTGGAGCCAGTGGCAGTCCACTGCATCCTTTTCCAACTTCTCTCTCATCTTGCCCACATGTTTCAAAGCCTGCTTCATGTCCATCTTGTCGAGTGGTAACTCTGAGAAATCCTTCAGAAACCGACGTGCCAGCTCGTGACCCTTACTCACATCATCATTGTCTTCTTCTCGCTTACGTTTGGATCCTGTCTGGAATAATACAACACCCAATTCAGTATATTCACGAGGGAACTTTGCATTTTTTTTTTTTTTTTTANTTTTTTTTTTTTTTTTAATCTCCAAAGGCATTGAGACCTCATGCTAAACATCCTTGACCGAAAATTTATATAATTTACTTCATTTCATTTCTAAAGTTAAAATCATATGGGGCGTCGTTCATTTCCACGGCTAAATCAGATGGGTTACAATATCATGATGTGATGTTACAAAAAATCAGGAAACTGAGAAATGTTTGTTGTACACTATGAAATCAACTCACACAATATGCAAAGAACCGCTGGGTAACTTTGCAATAATAATCATCTAGAGTAAATAATGCTGTTTTCATTTGTGATGCAATTTTCGCACTTTCGTATTATGCAGACGACATTCAAGCCCCGCGTGTACTCATTTTCTATCCTCATCAGCCATTCATTGTTTCAGGTTTATCATTCTCCATTAATTATTCCCTTCACTAATAATTTGGAAAGAGATACCTTTTTTATTTTTTATTATTTAGAATACCAATTATCTAGGAAACTGGAGGTACAGAGATCAAACCCGGAGACCAGTAAGCTTGCAGTACGACACCTTTTTAGAAATGTTTAGGGCAAACTGCACAGTTAGGCAGCCCAAGAAAGTACCTCTTTTGCAGCATGAGGTACACCTGCTGTTGACGAAAAGTTTTCCAACTCAGAAGCCTTAGCTCGGGCAAGGGCGACCACGCTATCTGGAAACTTAGCAAATTCAGCAACATGAATACCAAAACTTTGGTCACAGGCCCCTGGTTCAACCTGAAAAGAGACACGTCAAATTTACACACTGTTTAATGGGACACGAGTTAAAAAGGAAGCTTATCCAAACTATGGAGTCAGAAATAAAAGACTATTGCATCGAAATAGTTAAGCTGCAAGAAAATTGAAATAATGTTCATATCAGTCAAACAACAGACAAAGCATTAGGTGGAAGGTAAATATCCATATTACATACGGATTATACCATTGCTATCAATTTCACTGATTAACCATTCTCTATAAGAGCAACTTGACTGCATATCTGATTAAGTGGCATTATAATCACTCAGCCTTTTTAACAAATAGTAAAATGTGCATCACGCTAAACACTCATATCCAACATAAGCATTCTCTTTAGTGTGTCAATTGTAAAACAAGCAGATTGCAATGAACTATGCACATACATATGCAACACACACACACACATATACTCAGTGTATTAAGAAGACGGGGGGAGCTTGTAAATCATAAGCGCATACCTTGTAAAGCATAGTAAGTTTGCGACTTGATGAGTCAATGTGAGCACTAACATGATAATTAGCTACTCCTGGCAGCTTTTTCGAAGTTTGCTCGTCACCGTAACTTCCATGAGCTAAAACAGTCAGCTCATGAAAGTGAGTAGCGAAAAATGTTGGAGCTTTTATTACTTTAACTATGTGCTCACAAATGGCCCAAGCTAGGCCTGCATAGCAAGACACCAAAAATTTTAAGCTAGAGTACTATGTGAAACAAATAATCCAAAAGGAAGCTCAAAATCAAAACATGGGAGTCAAATAAGTAGGACAATAAAAAGGGAAACTTTGAGAATTGTGTAAGTATTTTCTTCATCTGTTTCTAAAGCCTTCGCCGTAGTAATCTACTCAAAACATTCTATAGCAATTACCCCTTGCAGCTCCAAATGTTTGCTTATATTCATTCACTTTAACAATGGTAGTAAACTATACCATGTACGTGAACGCAACAAAGAATCTAATATGGAGCACATGCCACAATCACTATTAGTGGTTACTTATTCAATAACAGAACCTGCCATCGCAATAGCAATACAATATGTAAAAGTATTTTGGGCATAGGAAAACTGAAACAATAATAAAAAGGATTCATGTAATGTCTATCCTACGGTTACTTCTGTGCGCTGGACTATGTAATAAATCAACAGAGGTTATTCTATTATACAAATGTGATACTGACCAAATCCATCATACGTTGATGTCCCACGGCCCAGCTCATCAATTATAATTAATGACCTCTCAGTTGCTCCTTTCAATATCGATGCAGTCTCTAGCATTTCTTGCATGAAGGTAGAAACTCCACGTAGCTGTACATGGGAAACGAGGTATAACATGAGTAAAAGATGTCAATTTTTTTTTCTAAAAAAAATATGAAAAGTAATAAACCACTAAAATATGCATCCTCTTCTCTCACATCAATTCTATTGATTTCATTTACAAGAAAACTGGCAAACATTAAACCATAAGAATGTGGAAGTAAGAGAAGTATCACAGGCGATACCATTTAATTTTGCAAAACTAATTAAAGATAAAGAAGGCCAAGAACTTAGAGAAGAAAATAATATAAATAAGTTCAACATTTTCTCTTTTCTACTCAACAAAGTTCTCTATCAACTTATAGGAAATAGAGAAGATTATATATATCCACTTGTGGCACACATCAACGTTCTGAAAAGGCTTAGTGGGTTTTGCCCCCACTCCATTTCCTTCCTAAAGCATAGATAATAACTCCCAATTGGTTAAAATAAATTTGAGTTATGGGTGAATTGATGCCAATTATATGCAAATCATCTAAAAGAATAATTATAAATTAACTAACTGCAAAAAAGATAAAGTCATGGAACCTCATTACTCACTGTACAAAGCATACCTGGCAGTCACCAGCACCCACACGAGCAAAAATGCAGTCACGTATAGAAATACTGGCATTGTCACAAGGGACAAAAGAGCCAATTTGTGCCATCAGAATGTTCACACCAACCTGTGCACAAGCATATCATACAATGTGAACGAACAAAGTTTTGGTTTACAAAATAAGCCCAGCATTATCTATTAAGAACAATTTAAACAGCTATATTGTTAACTTTTGATACAGGTAGAATTTAGATAAAGCGCTGAATCAAGTTTTTATGATGAACCAGGTGAAGATTTAACATTTGATATTGGAGATGGAGATGTTCCATAGGCACACACGGGCCTGAAAATTTGAATACATGAATAAGAGATATTGTACTAATTACTGTGTTGCTGTCTTGACCTATCAGTCCTGCCATATATAGACTAATGCAGTTGGGTGGCAGCAGACAAGCACCTTCTTACCAATCTTACTTGAAGGTGGCAAAAGCAAGCTTAAGAATGCATATTAAAACTTACTATAGAAAATAAAATATCACGCAATTGCAATCCTCATGCTCAACAAACTAGTTTTTTCATTAATGCTCATCTCTATAAAGACTTGATACAGAAAAGGGTTGTCCAACTAAATGAAGTTCTTGACCTGTCGAATGAATGTTGATTTTCCTCCCATATTTGGTCCTGTAATAATATGGAACCAACTCTTATCCCTGACCTGCAAGGACGATTGAAAGTAGGTAATGACCACTTCAATATAGGCTTCAAAACATAATTTGTCTCAATATACTATGAGAACTTACTAGTTTACAATCATTCGGAATAAAATTCACCCAATCTTGAGCTTCAACACACGGATGTCGACTCCCTTCCAAAATAATATCTCCGACATCCTGAGAAGTGTGATTGTGAAAAACATATATTTGCATAATTGTATTACTAGCACTGAGAGTGTAATTATAAATTAATTCTCACTGAAGGAGTGATGATTGGACGTGTGTAAGGAGTGGGACAGCTAGCAGCCAAATCAGCAAAACTTAGCAAAACATCCAATTCAGAGAGTGACCACGATAATCCTTCAAACACCTGCATGAAGATTATATTATAGAAACATTAAAAAGACTAATTAGACGTAATCAGATAAGAAAACAAAAACAAATAAAAAATATGATCGGTATTGTAAGGATTAATATATAACAATGGTAGGGATGATCCATGTAGGAAGTCTCCAGCATGGATACCTCGGAAAAACTAGCAGCAGTCTGGACCACTCTGGCAACCAATTCTTTCTGACAACTTTTGTACTCCTCAACAACCTTTTGGTAGAGGTCACTTAATTTCTTAAGCTTTGTGTTTGTGAACTTAACACCGTCCTTTCGAGTTTCAAGAACAATAAACTGGGTATTCAGCTTCTTTCTCACTTTTGGCTCCTCCTTTTTAGTAATCCTAAAAGCATATCCATATTGTGTCCCTTTCTCCAATTTCAAAGCTTTATCAAGAACCAGATCAAGGTCGTCAGCTGCTTTTCTATGCAAATCATGTATCTGGTGTTCAAGAGAATCTTGCTCATTTTTCAAAGCCAATAACTGTGGATCATATCCGGATGAAATCATGTATTCTCCATTTTCAAGTTGATCAAGGTCAACAGACGCTTCCACAAGACCAATAAACTTGTTTAAATGGTTATCATCAGTCCATTTTTCTAGAGGATCCAAATATCTTTCCTTGATCAGTGAAGCAAATTGGCCATCATACTGCTCTAATGCACTTTTGATGAATGAGAGTCTGATACTTGACTGCAAATTAGAAAAAAAAAAAAAAGTAACTTAATAATATATGTGAAAAGAATTAAGTAAGATAGACCATTTAGCAGTTACACTAGAGCCTATGATTTGTGGTTGACCACCCAGGAAAGAAAAGAAATATCAGTTAGATATCTTAGGCTGGTTATCATATATCCAGAAAGAGGATGTGTTATTGTCGAAAAAAGTGAGGGATGTAATGAAAGTAACCTGAGATATAAAATTGTTCCAGAAACGGGAAAAATAAACATGAAAATATAATTTCTGTTGGTATGGCTCATATATTGACAAAGGAAGGAGGCAGGCCGTGGACGTAGGCACATTGCCGAACCACGTAAATCTTGTGTTATTTACTTTCTTGTCTTTAATTCGTATTGTCCTCGTTTCTCAACAATTTCATTCACCCCTGATGAAACATGTCTGCCTTATATTGTCAGATATATCCCTATGTACATTGTACACCAAGAGTAAAAACACGTTTGACAAAAGACCCCACAATTCCACGCTAAACTCATTGTCCTAGATCATGTAGGGTTATTCTATTATCCCATATATGTCAAGCAAACTAATGGTTACCTGGTAAAGCTTAACAACATGAACCAAACCCGCTCTCTTCTTCTCAAGAGAGCGCACAAGTCTCTCTATATCTGAGATTCTTTTTAAATGCTGCCTTAGGCCATGGCGTAGGACAGTATCCTCCACAAAAGCTTGTACCAAATCCAGCCTACAGTTTATCTCATCTACATCTAGCAAAGGTTGTTTCAGCCACATGTGCAGCAAACGCTTGCCCATCCCTGCAGTACATGTTCTATTAAGGAGACCAAACAAGCTGAAGTTCTTGTTAGCATCAGTTTTGCTCTCCATGACATTTAGCGCCCGCATGGCAGCAGAGTCTAATCTCATGTAACTATCAAGGTCATATCGTTGGATTCTGTAGTTTCCATAATTTCTCTCATCAGCAAGAAGATCCACATAGTAAATTATGCACCCGAGAGCCCCCTGTGCGTATTCAAATGCCCCTAGAAGATCCCTTACTGGTTCCGTTGAGCCTTTTACGAGCCTACCGAGATCTTGCACCAAATCTCTTCCTTTAAATTCTGATTTTTTCCTTTCGGTTACCATTACACCACACCTGGACAGTGCATCATTCAGTGGCCTATATTCACTGGACTTGACAATGTCTGCTGGAAGAAGGCACTCCTTGCAACCGAGAGCAACAAGAGCTGACTCCAAGTTTGTAAAGTGGCTGTCATCAGGAAAATCTGCCAGTCCAAGTAACCTTTTGGTAAGATTGACATAGCTCAATCCAACAGTGAATCCGCTTTCACGGTAATTTGCAACAACAGCAACAATCACCGGAGAATCTTGCATCTCATTGTTAGCAAACAGGACTTCTTCAAAACCACCTAAATTTCCAGGTGTTGCGCATTTCACAAGTCTCCAATTGGCTCCACTGCCCTCATACAGCTCGACAGTGTGATCAGTCCTCTCCAGAAGAAGATCCCGAGCAACAGTCTCGAACATATTCTTACTCACACTAACACTGGAAATGGCATCGGGACCACTTCCCAGTTGACGCACAGCAGTTGTAGTATGGTAATAGGTCTTTGCAATAAAAGTTGCATTCTCCCCATGCGCAGTGTAATAGTCCTGTAAAGAAGACAAAAGGCTGTAAATATGTTAAGAAAATGAAACCCAGCTCATATCACTGCTTCTTTTCTGGATCTCCCACAAATGTCATGCGAAATAAGCACCCAGTGAGTAGTGTGTGAGAAAACCCATCTAAATTACATGGAAATCGACAAGAAAAAAGGAAGAACAATGCTCAACAATGAGTGTACCCCCTATAATAACACTTATAATAAGGGCCAGAACAGCACTAACCCGACGATCGAAAAATCTAACAGCTCTAGCGTCCTGCAAATGGGAAACGGAAGTTAAAGCCACAATTTTTACTTCAGTACACTACGCTAAAGAAACAATAGAAATCCAGGTTTCACTTGAAATAAGACATCTAAACAAAATAAGGGAAACGTAAAAGAGAAACTCGACAAAATCGCTCACGGTGGGTAGGCGTTTGAAGAATGAAATGAACCCTTGAGCTTGCTTCGCATCTGCCACACATCAATTCACCATTAACACATATTTTGGTACAACAACAGAGATAATTCACGTCGAAAACGATGAAATTAAAACAAGGAGCTGGTCTTACCGAGTTTTAGCTCCGGAAGCTTGTTCTGCTCTTCAAAAGCGTCCCCCATTTTACAGTGAAACGACGAAATTGGTAAGATTAGCCCTAAATCTCAAAGGGAGCTTTTTGCCGATAGTTGCTGTTTATGTCGTCACTTCACTTAGAATCCCAAGCTCTGCTGTACCGACTCCTCCATAGCTAGGGAGAGAGTATATGACTTCCTGGATAACGATTGGCGGGAAGACGTCGCGGTTTCTTGGGTTTGGCGGGGCGCGTGCGTGTTCCCCATGGATGTGAAGGCGTGGCTTTTGATTTACTTTCTTAAAAAGATTATTCTCAACTACTAAGGGCGTGATTGTTTATAAGTTGTACAGTAAAAATCTCACTCAAAACTCAAATTTAACTTAACTCCACTATCTTCAATATCATCAATATAATTAAATAATATCAAACAATTATTATTACACATCACATCAACTTTAATTCACTATTCACCCACTCACATAATTTTAACTAACTATCACTTCCAATCATTTTCTCCTACTTTTACATCAAATCAACTTTAATTATTTTAATTTAAATATTATTTTAATATATCTACTAACAACTAACCATATTATTTTTTTTCAAACTTAACTATAGTTAAAAAGAACTAGTTTTTTACTAGTTGAATTCATATTCAATCACCCCCTAAATACCGCACCCAAAGCCAAATATCGTACCCAAAAAATACCAAAATACCCTTACTAATATAAAAAAAAAAAGAAAAAAATGGAAAAACAAACGCACGCACGCACCCCCCTCCTTTCCCTCACTCTCTCTCCCATCTCTCAATTCACATAAGCTAAAAAAAAATTGAAGAAATTTCGTTTTTTGCATTTGAACGCGAAAAAAAATGGCCGAACGCAAAAAAATCATAAAGAACAACCAAGTATTTTTTTTTTAATTTTAGACGAAAATTATTTTTTCGAACTNTTTAAATTTATTTCTTTTTTTTTTATTTTTAAAATATATATAGATATATATTTATTAATATATATATATATATATTTAATATATAATATATAAATTTAATATATATATTTTTTGGGTTTTAAATTTATTTCATTTTTTTGGTTTTTAAAATATATATAGATATATATATTTATTAAATATATATATATATATATTTAACATATATTTATTTCGGTTTTTAAAATATATATAGATATATATTTATATATATATGTTTAATATATATTTATGTTTTATATAGTTTATTTTTGTTTTTTTAGTTTTTTTAATGTTAAAAAATTGAATTAAAAAATGATTTTTTTAATATTTTTTTTTAGTAAGGGCAAAAGAGGAATTTTTGGGTGCGGTGAATAGCAAAAGTGGGTGCGATAAATAGCAACACTCAAGAATATTTCACTAGAAAAATAAAGAGTAAACGATGATAATGTTAATAATCTTATGAACCACTCAATTATTATTTGTATATGTAAGAATGACTATTTTGTACTCGATGTAATTATATTATTACGATTGTGCTATCAAAAGTTTTCTTATAAATAAGATTTTCAATTATAATGAAAATCGCACCAAGAAAAAACATTATCTCTTATAAATAGGAACTTCAATTATAATGAAAATCGCACCAAGAAAAAACATTCTCTCTATTCTTCTCCCTTTTCCTCTAGTTTTATAACACGTTATCATCACGAGTATCTACTCTCTAGAGCTCGATTTGTAGTATGACGAGAGTATGTTCTACAGTTGCGTCTTATGGACGATACTCTGTATCAGAAATCGAAATATACAAATCGTCATCTTCCTCAAACAATACTCCATGCCACAAAAATCATGGTTCTCTTAAATATAGAAACTAAGCAAACACAAAGGAGTCTTTACAAAAAAAAAATAATTAAAAGTTATTGTGCAGTTAAATTGGCGACAGAGATGAGCTTAAGAATGTATGATTTAAATATTATATTAATTGATAGTATACTCACGTAATATAATTGGAAAATAAACTATTTAAAAACATTATTGTACTTTTTTCTAATTAATATTATTGAAATTATTATTGGTATATAAAAATATTGTTTAAAAAAAATTATGAATAAAATTAAAATTTATAATAATTTTATTTTGAAAATATATTATCTAAATATTATTCTAGTTTATTTTTATTTATAATCTAAATATGTAATAAGATTAAAAAATAAATTTTTCAGAGCTATTCTAATTATTTTCTAAGCTTGACTATTAACTTTTCTTGAGACTTTGAAATTAAATAAAATGAAATACAAAAAGTAAATAATGAAGCTTAGAAAAAAACCTAAAATAATTTTCTAAATACTTTAGTTTCTAATTGTATTCAGTACTTAGATATCAATCAATATAATATTTAACCTATATATTCTCAAAATTCCATTTTCAATATTTTGACCTTAAAAAATTAAATATTGTTAATTCTGTTCATAAATGTAACTTATATGAATTAATTTTCTTGCGAAGCTAGTTGTACAAATATATTGAATACTTTTATTATAGGTATTATAGGTACAAATAATATTTTTATAGTTCTATCTAGAAAAAAAACTAAAATTATTTTTCTAAATAGTTTATTTTTTAATGTCATCACATATATAGATTAAAATTAAGTTAAAATTTAATTTGAACTATTAAATAAATTTCATTAAGTTATTGCATAAATGTAAATTATGAAATATTTGCCTTATAAGGTAACTTTACTAAAGATATTTATATTTTTTTTTATTATAGTACTTCAAATATAATTTTTTTTTTTTAAAAAAAGAGTATTTTGGTTTACATATTATGTCAAAATACAAAGTGAGTTGAAGTCTTAAATTGAGAAGTAGAATGTAAAAGTAGACCTTCAATTGAGAATAACTGAAACTGAAACCCTCAAATGATAAAGTTAACACAATTCCAAATAATCAAGCCCTATAATAGAATTTCCCGTAAAAAAACTATAAGCAATATTTAATGACACGGTTGGTTATTTTACAAAGATATTCATTAACTGTTAGTATAAATACTTCATAAAGATTATACAATTATGAAGTTTAACAATGTGTTTGGCCAAATCATTTCTAAGTGTTTGAATAAAGTAGATGTTTTTTCAAATGAATTAAGAAAAATTTTGCAATACTATTAGTATATTGGGCTCAAGCGGGTATGAATGTTTCTTATGAGAATGTTAAAACCAAAATGAAAGAAAATTACTATTGAATCATCTAACATAAATAAATAAAAGAACTAATGTAACTATAGCATACATTAGTTCCTTATTTTATTATTTAATTTTTTTTGTCAGAGACTCATTTTTCATGTACTTTTGTTGGGGTTGTAATATGTTATTTTAATTTATTTTTATATTAAGACATTATTATTATTTAAAAAAAACATTAGACTAATTTGTTCTATATTTTATTTTATTGTTGTATTGATATATTTAATTAATTAATTAATTTAACTTACTAGCCAAAACTATTCACCTCCTCGTATGTCTGAGGTGCACTTTACTAATTCATTAAAAAATTATGAAGGATCGGTTCATCTAAATAGTATGAATGAGTTGCTCAATAAAATCATTTCCGCTCTTTTATATTCAACATGTTTTCTACATGCTTTCTTTGTTTTTTTACCTTTCTATCATTCAATTTTCAACTAAAAATAGAAATTTCTTGTCGAACCGTTTGCGTATAAGTTTACGTATCGCAATATTTGATAACAAATGATTTTTTTTTTTTTATTTGATCGTAAGCTGCCTAAATTATTGCATTTTCCCATATAGTTGAAATCTCAAGATTTCTTCGATTCGATCGTAATAAGCTACCCACATTATTGCATTTTCTGATTTGGTCCAAAACTTTTAAGATCTCAAGAGCGCACTTAAAAATATTTCTTGGACTAATTGTAAGTTGCCCAAGTTAGTACATTCCCTTGTTTGGTCGAAATCTCAAGAGGACCTCTGTTTGCTGTTTTCAGCATTTTTAAGGTGTGGTGGAGATGAAAGATAATACAATGACTCATCAAAAGCTGATCTTCTCAACAAGTTTTAGCCTCAAGGAACAGAAAATATTTGCTTGTGGAGCTCTCATTGGTTGCCTCATCATTACACTCACATTTTTCACGGTTTTCAAGACCTTTCTTGTTCCTATATCAACATGTATGATCATGTAAATATTATTTATTATTTTTCACTTAATTTTCATTCTAATACTTGTCTATTTCTTCTAGCTAATTATTCTTTCACCAAACCAGACCACGAGCGTGTAGCTCAATTGATGTCCGTTGCTGTTGCCATTGGAAAGAGCTTTCACCAGGGTCAAAACTGTGCCTAGTAGTGATTAATATGATTTTGATATATATTATACATATGTATGTAAATGTAATAAAATTAATAAATTCTTTAATCAGATCATTTTGAAGTACGGACCGCGATTAATCCGAGCATTCGTAACTGGAGCAATTCGAGATCGGACGTGTACGAAATAACCGGCGATGTGAGATTCCACGGCCGCTCGTCCACCATCTTCGTATACGATTCTCCTATAAACAACAAAAACACCTCCTCCTCCGAGTGGACACTAAAACCGTACGCCCGAAAATTCGACAAGTTTGCCATGAGTAAGGTCTCCTCCATAACCGTAACAAAAAAAAATAACAACCAAACCCCGATCAATATGCCTAATTGCAACAACACGCCACGCGTGCGCACACCTGTCGTCGTCTTCTCGACGGGCGGCTACTCGAGCAACTACTTCCACGCCTTCACCGATGTCCTCTTGCCGCTCTACTCAACGTCCGTCCGTTTCAAACGAGACGTTCTCTTCCTCACGCTCGACGGGCCCAAATCATGGGCCCACAAGTATAAGAACATTCTCGACAAGCTCTCTAAATACGACGTTATCTCCATCCCCAAGTCAGAGAATAATCGTGATCGCGTGTTTTGCTTCTCGCGTGTGGTCGTGGGCCTAAGGGCCGGGAGGGAGTTCGCGGCCGACGAGCGCTCGACGCCAGAGTTCGCGCGGTTGGCGCGGAGCGCATACTCACTCGAGAGGGGGGATGTGAAGAGTAATTATTCGAAACCGAGCCGAATGCTGGTCGTGAGCCGGAGGAAGGGGCGGCGGCTCGTGAACCGGGGGGAGGTTGCGCGCGTGGCGCGNTGAGGAGGTGGCGGTGAGGGAGATGGGGGATGACGTGGCGGAGAACGCGCGGGTCGTGAACGGGTTTGACGTGATGGTGGGGGTTCACGGGGCGGGGTTGACGAACATGGTGTTCCTTCCGCGAGGGGCGGTTGTGGTGCAGGTCGTGCCTTACGGGCTGGAATGGGTGGCTCGGCAGTGCTTTGAGGGCTTGGCGCGGAGTATGAAGTTAGGGTACGTGGCGTACGAGGCGGGATTGAATGAGAGCTCGCTAGCGGTGTCTGGGGAGATTAATCCGGATGCTGTCCGGAGGAAGGGGTGGGGGGCTTTTAAGGCTGTGTATTTGGACGGTCAAGATTTGCGGATGGATTTGGGGAGGTTTAGGGGGACTCTTGTGAAGGCATGGGATTTGCTTCATGTGTGAACGGAGAAATGATGAATCTATAAGAGAATGATGAATGTCTGTGATACTTTTCACCGTGTTCAATACTGAATCTGAACGTAGGATTTACAAGTTAAGAGTGACTAAAGATGAACGTGCACTGATAACTAATGTGTCAAAGTGGCTTATTATATTCAGCAAATAATTAACCTTTTATCTATTGGAAGTTTTAGGCTATGTTTGGTTCAACTGAGGGGAGGGGAGGGGAGGGATTTTAATGGAAGGAAGGGGAAGGGAGGGGAGGTGATGTAAAATAATTTTACCTTGTTTGGAGGGATTTGGAGGGATTTTGTAGGAGGGGAGTGGAGGGAAAATGGTAAACCTTGTTTGGTTAGAATAATGGAGGGGAAGGAAAATATTGTAGAAATGACAATTATATCCTTAATGATGTAAGAAACAAAATAATAAAATAATTTATACATAAAGGATAATATAGTCATTTATGTGTTAAAAATTTTCCCTCCCCTCCAAACTCCTCCACTTTTGGAGGGGAGGAGATTTTCCCTTGGAGGAGGGATTTGAGGGGAAAATATCAATCCTTCCTCCTACAAAAAAATGAACCAAACAAGGGAAAATTATAAAATTCCCTCCCCTCCCCTCCCCTCCCCTCAGTTTCCCTCGAACCAAACATAGGGTTATATAGGAATATTAATTATGTTTTGTTTACTCAAATGGCTAATACTTAGTAGTTATAAATTCACTTAAATAGAATAATGATTGATTATGTATGTTTTCAATAAGACTAGTAAAGTGCACGTGCGATGCACGTGGTGACGAATGTTTTTGGTCGATTAAGTTTAGTAAGATAAATTAATTAATGATTGTAGGAACAAAATAAAATGTAGAACAAATAAAGACTTAGTTTATCTTTTTTTTTTTTAAATAACATAATGATGTCGTAACGTAAAAAGATTCAAATATCATATTACAATCCCTACAAAAATATATGAAAAATGAGTCTCTAATAAAAGAAGACTAAATAACTAAATAAAGACCTAATGTATATTATAGATGCATGAGTTCTTTTATTTATTTATGTTAGATTCAAGAGTGATATTAGTTCATTTTGGTTTTAACATTCTCAAAAAAAACATACTCGTTGGAGCTCAATACATCAATAGTATTGCAAAACTATTCTTAATTAATTTGGCAAATGTCTGCTTTATTCAACACTTAGAAATATTTTAGTCAAACATATAGTCAAACTTCATGATTGTATGATCATTATAAGTTATTTCTACTAACAATTCACAAATATCTCGGTAAAATAGCCAACTGTAACATTAAAATTCTTTATATTTTTTTAATCATTGTATAAATTACTACATTATTTCTACTAACAATTCAAAAATATCTCGGTAAAATAGCCAACTGTAACATTAAAATTCTTTATATTTTTTTAATCATTGTATAAATTACTACATTACTCTCTCTCTCTCTCTCTCTCTCTCTCTCTCTCTCTCTCTCTCTCTCTAGTTGTTTATCATAATGCCTTACTCATTCGTTCGAATTTGCAATATTTATGTGTCTAATAACTTATTTAATGCATTTATTGTCCAACTTTTTCTATCATACATAATGCTTCGAATATTCAACATAAAGATAATTTCTTGATTATTCAATAATAACAAAATAATGAGAACATATTAAGAAACATATCATTTGTCAAAATATTTCAAATGAGAATAACTTGGATTCTATTATATTATGATACTCTTAGATATTTGTGAACTTTATTATTATATAGTCATTATTAAAGTTTATGGTCTATATTATGATAATATGGAATCATTATTTATGATAACCAATTTTTTATCGAGGACATATATTTACATGCTAGCAACAAAAAGTAGTAATATTAAAAAAAAAAATTGTTTCTTGATATTGGTATTCATACGTTTTTAAGAAAATTCAGACATTTTCTTCTCCCCATTGAATTACTATTGTTTTATTATTTGTGATTTAATTCACAAATAGTATTTTATTTGTTGAAAAAGTTAGAGCACATTTATATGCATTGCATTTTTCTTTACGTGTTTGATAGTAATAATATATCTGATAAAAGTGTAATTTCATATTGCTTATAAGATTAATTTTTTTTTAATTTTTTTTTTCTGTTGTTTGATAAAATATTAAGTAATTAACTCATTTTCATATTCAAATATATTTTACAACCATTATAGTGTTCTATTCCACACAGTAATTGAATATTAGTTTAATATACAACTCATTTGTTTTTTCTTCTATTAATATTGGTAATAGTTGAACGTTTACATCTATTTACACTTTTTACTTAGTATGAATAATTCTAATATATGTAAGAAAAATATACGACAAATTTATCTAATGTTATTTTATAATTAATAAAACTGAGTTAACATGGATCTATAATTTATTTAATAAGATACTTAAGGTCTATTTATTATTTTAAATTGGTATTGATATATATATATATATATATATTATTTTATATCGATAGAAATAATTAGATTATTTTTATTTTATTACAATACATTGGTCAAATCAAACATCATTGGAAAGAAATGATGTGCTATATTACATATAAAAGGGCAACAAATAAAAAAATATTAACTATTTCAAAGTTAAAAAAATTAATGGTAAAAAATAATTAATTCTTAACTAAAAAAAAGACTATCGATTTCTAATATATTTGCATCTTAAGTATGTTTTACATTTATCATTCGTTAGCTCCAACTGATATAGAACATTTATTAATTTTATCATTTTTTTAACTTTTGGATGGAATGGCAGCTTAAGTTTTCGCATTGTGTAGTTTTTATCTTTTTATTATGTAGAACATCATTTTTATCCCTTGTTTAGTTATTAGAATACTAATAAAATCATTAAGGACTTTTTAACCTAGAGGTTTCCTTTTTAAAAATGTTTACCAATTTTCATAAATTAAATGACATAAATTAAATGATAAATACATTGAATGTGTTATATTTTATATCATTATTAACAATTTTTAAAATAATTAACTGCACACAGTATTATATATAATGCAAAATTTTTTAGTTTGATTGGAGCCATACTTTTACTGCAAGAAAATGATGAAATTTCAATGAAAACATGTTACAATGGAATTTCAACGACAATTCTAACAAATATTTCAATGAAAAATTCAAACAAAAATAATTTGTTGGAATCATGGCTAAATTCATGTTTATTGAATAGTCCCAACACATGCCTCATCCCAAAACATATAGCATAAGATATCTTAGAAAAATTATGAAAATATTTTTCATAATTTTAATTATGCCCCCTATTTAGAAAATAAAATTAAAAGAAAGAAAGATACATCATGAATTAATTTAATTCAACTCATAACTTTTTTAAAGTTAAAACATAAACGTGGTATCACAACTAAAGAAAACATGATACTTATCAAAATTTGCAACGCTCTAATTCTCTATCTTTTTTCTTTTAATCTTGATGATAGCTTATATTCTCTCTTTTGCGGCATATTTTTTATGTCTTTTTAACTGTATGTAGAATTCTAGTTCTATATTCATAATTTATATATTCATCAAATTTATTGTCGAGTCTACTTTACTACCACATAAATTTTTTGTTCATAATTTTTTTTTTAAAATATATATATTCTTTTGTTGAATTGAGAAAAAAAAATGTTTTATTTAATATTATTGAATTCATGTGATTGTATTGATGTGTTAAAAAAAAGTATTACATAATGAGAAAGATGACAAATTTTAAAAGATATACTTTATAAATTGTAATGACATTATGTTATTTTGATGGTATATTTTTTCTATTAATTAAATACTGCCCTCAACATGAAATTATTTTGGATCCGCCACTCCAATTAGTTTTTCAATGGTACTTGCATAGATTTGTTTGCAATTTAAATGACAGTTTTTCCAACTGTTGAAATATGGTCGGAAAAAATAAATTCCAATGAAAATTCATACAAAAATAAATAAAAGTAATTGTAATATTAAATCCACAAAAATTTCAATGTAATTTAGTTCGATCTCTGTTGGAGTAGCCAATAAATTTCTTCAATGGAAGCCATACCAACAAAATATCCGTTGGAATTTTCAGTGGAATACCTTACTGTTGGATTTTTCATTATAATATGGAATTTTTGTATTCTTCTTAAACATTAAAATTTTTATGTAGTATTTTTTGTTATTTCTTGATTGTGTTTACAAATTTTCTATTAAAAATATATTAAACATGTGTACTTTTTAGTCCATATAATTTTTTTACAAATCACTCGTTATTTCATGTCAACATTACCTAATAATTTCGCAATTGAGTTATTATTCCTTCATATTAATAAAAATAAGTATTATTTTATATATGCAATATGATATTTATATATTATATTAAAAAAGCTACTAACAAATTAAAAGTTATTTCAAATTACAATAACCAACTTTTGTTTTAAAAAAAAAATTAAAAGCTCTAACCTACATGAATAAAGTACAAATAAATATTGTCAATAACCTAAAACTCTCACATGGAATTAATAAGTACAAAAAATTAACAAGCGTTTAACAATTCAACTCATTTACATTGATAAGTACAAGTTTTAAAAGTTTTATATTTATATTTATTAATTATAACTTTTAGTTTTTACCTTTTTTCATATTTATTAGTAAGTGTTACGACTTAATTATATTTTTAGTATTATTTATCAAATTTAATATTTTCTAACTTTTTAGTTAGTTAAAAGAATGCACAAAATTAAGTATATAACTTTTGACCTTTTCGGGGGATGTAAGTACGATCCCAGCACTACATCCCCGCTCGAGGGAAATTCTTTTGAGTATATAATTACAATTTTCTCGTTAAGTTGTATCTTTAGAATTATTTATATAGAAGTTAACCCTTAATTAAATTGTTCTTTTTACCAACATTTATCATTTTGCTAAAATTGTAGATATGTAAATAAATAGTTTAAAATATTTAAATTTTTTTATAAGTATTTATTATGTCGTTTCTGTTGGATCAATTTTCTTTAAAGAACTTTTATATATTAGAATTATAAAATGTGATTAGGATTTTACCATTAAAATTATATTAAAAATAATAACATTTTTGGAAACATCATTTCTATAGCTTTTGAAAGCTTTGTTGTTTGAGTTGATTTTGGATTTATTTTTTAGAGATATGAAAGAAAGCAATTTGGCAGATATATGGAAGAAAGCAAATTCGTGAAGAATAATGGTACAAAAAAGTTGTACATCGTTATATTGTATTATATATAATTACAATTTTCTCGTTAAGTTGTATCTTTAGCATTATTTATATAGAAGTTAACCCTTAATTAAATTGTTCTTTCTACCAAGATCTATCATTTTGCTAAAATTGTAGATATGTAAATAAATAGTTTAAAATATTTAAATTTCTTATAAGTATTTATTATGTCGTTTCTGTTGGATCAATTTTCTTTAAAGAACTTTTATATATTAGAATTATAAAATGTGATTACGATTTTACCATTAAAATTATATTAAAAATAATAACATTTTTGGAAACATCATTTCTATAGCTTTTCAAAGCTTTGTTGTTTGAGTTGATTTTGGATTTATTTTTCAAAGATATGAAAGAAAACAATTTGGCAGATATGTGGAAGAAAGCAAATTCGTGAAGAATAATGGTGCAAAAAAGTTGTGCATCGTTATATTATATTATATATAATTACAATTTTCTCGTTAAGTTATATCTAATTATTTATATAGAAGTTAACCCTTAATTAAATTGTTCTTTTTACCAATATTTATCATTTTGCTAAAATTGTAGATATGTAAATAAATAGTTTAAAATATTTAAATTTCTTATAAGTATTTATTATGTCGTTTCTGTTGGATCAATTTTCTTTAAAAAACTTTCATATATTAGAATTATAAAATGTGATTACGATTTTACCATTAAAATTATATTAAAAATAATAACATTTTTGGAAACATCATTTCTATAGCTTTTGAAAGCTTTGTTGTTTGAGTTGATTTTGGATTTATTTTTTAGAGATATGAAAGAAAGCAATTTGGCAGATATGTGGAAGAAAGCAAATTCGTGAAGAATAATGGTGCAAAATAGTTGAAGTTGATTAAAAATTGAAGAGAACAAATAGATCCAACTGCCTAGACATCTATCACTCTGCCCTTCTTCTTAGCTTTCCTTATATTATAATAGGGTTGTAAACGAATCGAATCAAAGCGAATATTAAGATATTCGATTCGAATTCATTAAAATATTCGAGGATTTGAATTCATATTCGATTTATTAACGAACTCATTTTTTTTATTCATATTAGGTTTGTTTAGAATATTCTATTGAAAAACAATGATTACATAACTATTAAACCTGCTTAACAATATAGTCTTACTAAATTTATTTTATTTACTATTTGATTTGTTATTTGTTATATATATTAACCCACTCAATTTCAATATTATAATCCTAATTGTTGAGTGTGTAACCGATCAAATATAATACTTTAAATGTCAGAAATATTAGAATATTTTTTACATATAAATTATCATGGAGTAGATAAAACGAAATGGATTAGCGTCCATGTTATACTAAACGATAAACGAAAAAAGACACGTTTTTTTTTTATTTTTTTTTTCACAGAGAATGGAATGGGTCTGAAGTCTGAACATATAAGAGGCGCATTTTCGTTTTTTTTAAAGAGAATGGTATTTAGATCATTATATTAATTAACAATTAAAAATATTAGTATGAATGGATATTAAATTACAAATCTGACATTATTAATATGAAAAAGTAAGGGTATTGTAGGCATATCATATTTTTACAGATTCATTGGCACATTTAGAATAGTATAGATATAGATAGATCATAGTATTGATTTGATCGTAATTTGTTTACCCAGTGAAAAAAAATATTCATTATAATTAAGAAAATTGATTTGATTAATTTTATTATCATCTCATTGTTGTAGATATTAATTTTATTAATTATGTTCACATCAGAAGCACTTAAAATATATAACAAATAATTTAATTATTAATAAAATTTGCTATTTTCATTGAGTATATCATTTGTATTAGGACTACTATTGAAAAATTAAATTTAATATTATTAATATAATTATTGTTTGATGATTAGGTGAAATTAAGAATTATAAGTTTTTCATATTAAAAATATTTATATACATCAAGAAATGATTAAAGTTGTACAAAAGATATAATTTTTATTATATACTATGTAATAAAGAAAAATGAGTAAATAAGAGAATATAGTCGAATATCATAAATTAAATTATAGCATTTGTTAATAATTGAAATATATAATTCTAAATATTTAAATTGGATATTAATACAGTCATGATACATGTTTAAAAAAATAAATAAGTACATGTAAGTATTTTATATACAAACATCATATATAAAATCACATATATTTATAATATTTTATAAACTTATAATACTAAAATTTATATATTAAATAGTTAAGACCTACAAAAATAAATTAAAAGAATAAAAAATATTCAAATAAACTTTATGTTATTACATACTTGATATATTGTGTCAGATAGAATATGCATATTATCTTAAATAATTTAACTATATTTGGATAATAAAATAATAATTTATAGTATACCCCGTGCATCGATACGCATAGAACATTCCATACATCCAAGATAGTTTGGGTATATTGGTTTGAGATTTCTAAAAACTTTTTAAGAATTTAGAAATCATGATGTATTTAAATTTAAAAGTTTTAAGATGTTTTAAGATTTGTAAAAGCTTGAGGTATTCATTTAAGATTTAATTTAACTTGTTCGAAACTGTGATTTGTTAGGTTTTTTTAAGATTTGGTGAGTTTTCCAAAAGAAAAAACATATAGAAAATCTCACTTCAAATCTCACCTTTATACTTATGATTTAACAGAATTCTTTATAAATCTAAAAATTTAAAAATTCTCACATCTCAAAAGTCTCAAAATTCCAGACGAGTACACCCCCTCAAAAACCAAGACTAAGTTGACAAGTTTTGCATTCTCAAATCAAATCTATAGGAACCAAACTTTTTTAAATATGTGTTTTTTCCATTTTTTTCAGAACGATAGACTTTATAAATAAGAACACATAATTACAGACGAGAAGACAACTAACCAGCTGAATAAATCAGCTACCCAGTTGAATCTAGTTAGAGGACTACACAATGATAGCCTTGAACACACAACACAATAATCAGAACACAACAACTAAAAAATCGCATAAATGGAAAATAGAGATTCCCACAAGTGGAGAATAAGACTCCCAAAAAGAATTAAAAAAAAAAAAAACACAAAAACATACAAAAATTACATAAATCAAAATTTAACAACTAGAATAAGACCCTTTCCACCAGCCTGAAAGCCATTTCGAACCACCACCAATCGAGCCAACACCCACAGTGATCACCTAAGAAAGCATAACTCACGGCCCAAACAACAACAGGATCTAAAAAGTCCCCCTACCACTAACTAGATTCGAGCCAACAGACCAAAGTCCTCCCAAATGGTCATCACCAGGCCAGGTCAGCATTTTCAAAGTAAATGTCAAATTATACACATTTTTGTTCTAGAATTAGGTTGTATGGACGTTACATAGAACGTTGGATGTTTTCTGTTTATGTTTTTTACATGTGAGAATCATAAACGTACACAACTTTCTCCATTAAGTTGTTTTTTATACTCGTAATTAAGCGTACACAGCTTTCCCCATTAAGTTTTTATATCATGTGGTAAATTAGCATCACAAGCTAAAAAAATAAAGACAGTGCATGTTACCATCTCTACTCCAACCTTTTATCATTTAATTTTCAATTAAAAACAAAAAATCGTCGTACGTATTCCCCCGTATCGAGAAAGTCACAATAGTAGAATTTTTGTATATCAATTATATACGTTATCATGCAGATGTATTTGTCAACAGAAGATTTCATCGATTTGGCAAATTATTGCATTTCCCATTTGGTCGTTCAAGACATCAAGAACACTACATTTGTATTTGCTAACAAAAATTTCTTCTATTTCGTAAGAATTGCATATTATTGCATTTTCCATTTGATCGAAACCTTGCGACGTCAATAGCACTACTTTCAAATCTAAGTATTCATCTCTGTTTTCAACATTTTTGTCGTGTTTGCTGTTACTTGCTGTTTTGTTGCGATGTACGTACGTAATTTCTTCTCTTTCTTTTTCCGCAAAAACCTACGATACACAAACAAATTTGATTTAATCAACACGCTAATTTTCTGCATTTTTAAGATGTGGTGGTGATGAAGGACAATACAATGACTGATCAAAAGCTGGTATTCTGGAGAAGCTTTAGTCGCAAGGAACATAAAATATTTGTTTGTGGAGCTCTCATTGGTTGGCTCATTATTGCAGTCACATTTTCCACTGTTTTCAAGCCCTATCTTCATCCTATATCAACATGTAAGCTCATGTGCATATTATTATGTTTCACTCTCGAGTCTTGATACAATATTTTCACTTAAATATTGGGAAAATGTTAAGTTCCCGTAACAGAACCATTCCCTTACATCAAACTCCAATAAGAAACTGCCACATCACTTTTATTTGACCACATCTAAAGGTCCATATCAAAACTAAGATCTAATGGCTTATATTGATTTTGAGGGAATCATTGCCCCACGGGACTGTATCATTTCCCTTTTTTTATTAACATGACCACAGGATTTATATTGATACTACCATAATTTCACTTTAAAATTTTTCATATTAACATGGCCACAGGAGGATCTGTATTATTAACTAATTCTTCTATCTTCTTCTTAATGGATTTCAACCTGCAGACCACGAGAGTGTAGCTCAAGTGATGTCCGTTGCTGTTTCCATCGGAAAGAGATTTCACCAAGGTCGAAACTGTGCCTAGTGCTTAATCTATTCGTGTTCTTATATATATATGTATCAACCAACTAGCTAGCTAATGAATTATTCGTTTCATCAGATCATTTCGAAACAGAGAGTTCATCGATTAATCCGAGTATTATCCGTAGCTGGAACAATTCACGATCCGACGTGTACGAAATAACCGGCGACGTGAGAATCCACGGCCGCTCATCCACCATCTTCCTACATTCTCCTATAATAAACACCACCACCACCACCACCACCTCCGAGTGGACACTAAAACCGTACCCCCGAAAATTCGACACGTTCGCCATGAGTAAAGTCTCCTCTCTAACCCTCAAACACGCAACATCAACACCTAATAATAACTGCTACGACAAGTCGTCCACGCGGAATAGTAGTACCCCCGCCATCGTCTTCTCCACGGGCGCCTACGCGGGGAATCATTTCCACGCCTTCACCGACGTCCTCTTACCCCTCTACTCCACGTCCGTTCAATACACCCGAGACGTACTCTTCCTTACGTTAGACGGCTCCCCCTCGTGGGCCCACAAGTACGAGAAAATCTTAAACCGACTCTCCAAACACGACATCATCTTCATCCACGAGCCCGAGAATCGCGACCGCGTGTTTTGCTTCTCGCGACTCATCGTGGGCCTCAAGGCCCACGATGAGGAGTTCATGGCTGACGAGAGATCGATGCCCGAGTTCACTAGTTTGGTACGGAGCGCGTACTCACTCGAGAGGGGGAATGTGAAGAGTACTAATTCGAAACCGAGCCGAATGCTGGTCGTGAGTCGGAGGAAGGGCCGGCGGCTCGTGAACCGGGCGGAGGTTGCACGCGCAGCGCGGGGGGTGGGGTTTGAGGAGGTGGCGGTGAGGGAGATGGGGGATGACGTGGCGGAAGCCGCGCGGCTCGTTAATGGGTTTGATGTGATGGTGGGTGTTCACGGGGCGGGATTGACGAACATGGTGTTCCTTCCGCGAGGGGCGGTTGTGGTGCAAGTCGTGCCTTACGGGCTGCATTGGGTGGCCCGACACTGCTTCGAGGGCCCGGCGAGGAGAATGGAGCTGAGGTACCTAGCGTATGAGGCGGGATTGAACGAGAGCTCGTTGGGGAATGTTACGGATCCGGAGACGGTGAGTCGAGAGGGGTGGGGTGCTTTTAAGGCGATGTATTTGGACGAACAGGATTTGCGGGTGGATTTGGGGAGGTTTAGGGGGACTCTTGTGAAGGCATGGGAGCTGCTCCTGCTGGCGGAGGACAAGTGAGGGAAAATGATGATGAATATGTGCGAGAGAGGTTTTAATTTTTCGCCATGTTGATTTGGATGTAATATTGATTATTGAATAATGTGATGATGAATGTGTGCACTGATTGATTGATTGATTGATAATAAATGTGTAGAAGACGGTGATGAATATAAATTCTTACTAGTAATCAACTTGTGCATTTGCATATAGATAAATACTTTAAAAAGATAAAAATATTAAAAAAAATTATAATTTAATTTATGAAAAAAAAATATGAATTAAAAAAATAATTCTCAAAATTGATTTTGATCAAGTAATTGTTATGGAAGAGTCGTTACAAACATTTTCATGAGTAAGTGTAACTTAAAATTTGAGTACAATTTTGTAACTAAAAATGAAATTGAATGCTGAAAATTTTGGAAGAAGAATAAAATTTAATGCATGACAATAAAATTTAATGCATGCTAATAAAATTAAAAGTTTTGTTACTCCTCTTTATATATATAGATTTTGTTCTTGTCAGAGCTGAGTTGCATACTAAGTTTCAAGAGCATGAGGCAACAAATGATGTATTGTTTGGGGATTTGGGGGTTTGGATTGTCTCTGCCTAATGCTGATATTTATTTCTGGGGCATAAATATTAAATAGATAATTTGGCACTAATACAAATAATTAATAATAATATTTCGATCAAAATAAATAAATCATATAAACAAAATATTTTAAGTTTTTTATGCTATTCAAAAACTTATCACTACTTGAAAATTAAGGTGTAGAATATGAATTTTTGGTTTATATCATGTTAACATTATTAATCATTACATTTTTATATCATATTCATTTACAAACTCAAATTCATCACATTTTCTAATAGTAATTTTTACACATTTATCACTTTTAGACGACAGTTCTTCATAAAAATTTCATTTGCAACTGGCCAAACAAAAAGTCAGCAAAGTTGAAATGCAACTTCATTCCACACAATATAAACCNTCTATTTTTTTTTTTTTTTGATACATAGGTTCCAGTCCCCACCTTTGGTGTTGCAGTCAGTCCTAGCCCTAATCCAGATCCCCAGTGGATTTCGGGAGTTAAATCAAAACTTGCGTCAGTGGCTTTCAGTTAGGTCCTTAGTTGTACACTCTTGGGCACCAACGAGTCGACCACTACAAGAAAATGCATGAATTGCTTCTCCCAGGTTTCGAACTCGCACACGGAGCTTGCAAGCGAGCTTTGAAGTCGCCCATCCCACCACTGCGCTAATTCGATGTTGTCCCTAGAGGCACTGCAGTCAGCCCCTAGGGGCCCTTGATTTACACACAAACACACACACAACCACATGGGTGTGTGTGAAATCAAGGGTCTCTAGGGGCTGCACTGCCCCTAGGGGCATCTTCGAATTTTCCCTGTTTTAGACCACTAGATCAATAATTATTTTTTTTTTTTTTACAAATATTCAACTTTCAAAATACCATACTTGAAAGAACAACATAAAGCATAACATAAACACAAGTATGACATTTGATAATATAAATATTTTTGTTCACACTGTGAGATTAGTCAACCCCACTATAACTAGGTCACCCCATACAAAAATTTGTGATATTTACATGAATCTAGTACACTAAGTCCTATGATTAAACATGAAACAATAAGGGGGCAAAGAGTCAATCAATATGGTAAATTGGTAATAATGAGTTATATTTTTTGTAGAATAATTGACAAAATGAGGCCATCCCTTGTGGTCCTCCTCTTCTATTCCATCAATGCACTGTAACTTTGGTACCCCCACCATCCTCTCTTATCCTGCACACACCCACTCTCTATTTTTTTCCTCACAGTCACAGCCCCTTATCCTCATATTCCTCAAAATCTCTTTCCCCAATGACCTCCTAACATAGAGGCTAGAGCTGGAAACTAATTTAATCAATCCCCAAAAATTAACATTTGCATATGTAATCGAAAATCAGTTTTTCTCTGTGTGTGTGAAGTGTACATATATAGTTATATATATACATATATATACATACATACATGTCGGGCGTGAGTTGGTCCGGTTCAGGTTGGAGCCGGGAAGAAGAGAAAGCTTTCGAAAATGGCATTGCCATGTATTGGAGCAGTTGTAACAGTGATGAGCAGAAATGGAGGCAGATTGGGTGCATGGTGCCGGGCAAAAGCATTCACGAGCTGAAGCATCACTATGAGCTTCTTGTGGATGACGTTGCTGCCATTGAAGCCGGAACTGTTTCATTGCCTAATTACACGGCCAGCCAACCTCCGTACTCCCATAAGGAACATTATTCTGAAAACAACAACAATAATAATAATAATAATAGGCCTAGTTTTGTTAGTTCTAAAAATAACAGTTTCCCAGCACTGGTCTCGGGAGACTGCGGAGCAGTGTCCACCTCCGGTGGTCAGTCAAGTAAAGGAGGGTCGAGTAGATCTGACCAGGAACGACGTAAAGGGATTCCCTGGACTGAAGAAGAGCACAGGTATACACACACACACACACACATGCAAAGAGAGTAAATTGCCATATGTGATGTTATTAACTATATATAATACCTACCAATGGTATTATTGTAACAAATGAATTTGATGCATATAATGTGTGAATGTGTCAAATGAATTTGTCGGAAATGTCGGTGGTGGTTTGTGTGGTTGTTGCAGATTATTTTTGCTTGGTCTCGACAAATTCGGGAAGGGAGACTGGAGAAGCATCTCGAGGAACTTCGTGATATCAAGGACCCCGACCCAAGTGGCGAGCCACGCTCAAAAGTACTTCATCCGACTCAACTCCCTCAACAGAGAGAGGAGAAGATCGAGCATACATGACATCACCAGCATCAACGGTGGTGAAGTCCCGTCTCCCGCGCCACATCATCATCACAATCAACACGCGAATCCTCCCATAGTCAAGCAAGGAAGACCCAACAGTGCAATAAACGGGCTGGGATTGGTGTACGGTGGTGGGGCCCCCGTGGGGCAACCGGTGTCCATTCCCCCGGGCCATCATTTCCCACCGTCTGCGCTCGGGACACCTGTCATCATGCCGCCACCTCAGCAACATCAACACCATCTGCCTTACGTACTTCCACTAGGCTGCCCCATGCCGCCACACCCGTCGGCCCCTACAAATCCGTAACATTGGAATAAGGGCTCTTTCAATACTGACCTATCTATCGGGATCATAGATCTATGTAGAATGGATGTTGTGTTGGCATTCTTTCGACTTTGTATGTATTCATCTTCCCTGCATAAGAGAAGAGTTGGTTATAATTCCATGAAGTGTTGAGTTCATTGATTGAGTCGGAGGCGAACACCTTATTGTCTTTCAGGCTGGCTGCATTTTGAAGATCCTCTCATTGTCGAAGCTAAAGAGAGTATTGCAGAGATTCGGGAGTGTAGTAAGCAAAACAGTCTTGACCTGGCTCTCTGGACTCTGGAGAATCTTCGATATTTTTTACCTGCTTATTTTACTAATAGAATAGTAACCCATGTTTTCTTTTCTGAATGCGTGATTGTTTAAAAATGATAGTGCCAAGGAAGTTGTAAGTTATAAGTTTACAATTTAGTTTCATCCAAGCAAGTTATAGTCACGTCTTTGCTTTCTTCCAATCTCTATGTATAACCTGCTTCTTCTAAACACAAGTAATGGAAAGTCGATAAATCGTGCAATCAATATAGAAGGTGGAAAGGCCAATTTTGTCCAGCCTAAGAATACCCTGCTTGTCAAGAGGAGTTGCATAATAAGTCACAAATTGCAGCAATAGTATATGACAACAGAAAATTGAATCATTGATTCAACTGGTAATCTCATTCCCATGAATTGTAATAACCAAAAACCATCATTCATCAGCTAAGTGCACAGGAGATAATGAAAAATGTATTCTTCCATTACATAATCAAAACTGTAGTCAAAACTGTAGGAGGCCAAGCCTCGCCATTTTCGAGACTGTCAACAAAAGGCAAAAGAATTACAGGACATTTAACACTCTCACAGGACAGAGACAAAAGGAAATATAATGAACTCTATTCCTTTGGAAAACAGGCTCCATTTGTAAAAGGAATTTTCTAAAATTCTAATCAAACCAGTATGACATGACCCCAATGATGAAGGCATATGGATTGTGCGATATAATGCTATAAAGATATTGTAATATAATAAAGCCCACAGCTGTGAAGATTTTTGAATAAACTAAACGCCACTTTTCTTGTTCCTGAAGCTCTCCTTAAGCAATGTGAATTTTTTCTTGCACTGATTTACCGTTTTCCCAGGAACAGCTGCAGCCACACGCTCCCACCTCTGGTTAGTTTCTTTAGGGAAGGTTTTGAGGGCTTGGATCAATGATTTCTCTTGAACATCAGACCATTCATCTGCATCAGAACCGGATGGCGTCCCATTGTCGGACTCTGTTTTCACTGAACTATTGTTGCTTTTCCCATCTGAAGTGAATGACTCCTGAGGATCATCGTTGCTTGAGATGTTTGCATTACCTGTCCTGAAACTCTCCTTCATCAGCGCAAACTTTTTCTTGCACTGGCCCATGGTTTTCCCAGGAACTGCAGCAGCAACCCGTTCCCATCTCTGGCTGGTTTCTTTTGGGAAAGTTTTCAGAGCCTGGACCAGAGCTTTTTCCTGGGCAGCTGACCACAGATTATCTTGATCTGGACTTGAACTAATTCCATTAGCCGTCGTACTACTGTCATCCGAGCTTGGGATGTTTCCACTTTGATTTGTTGACGGCTTGGGAAAATTGTCTGAGTCCACAGATTCATTCCTACTCAGCACGCTCTTCAGGTCCTCTCTAGTCGAAAGGGGAGATGCAATTGTTTGTGCTGGCTTCCTTTTCTCAAGGAAGGAGTCAAAGGCTTTGGCTGAGTCGGGCTTCTGCAAAAGGACCGTTTTTGTGGCTTTGAGAATCTCTTCCACTGACCTATTGGTGCCGATGTACTCGGAAATCACCTCCCACCTTCGGGATGTCCCTTTTGGGTATTTCACCATGCCCTTCTTCAGAAGGTCAATCTCTTCTTTACTCCAAGGTTTTTCCTTTTTCTCGATGCCGATGTAAGAAACTTGACCGTGACCTGCTACAGGACCATTCTGCTTTGAATTGTGCTCGCCCTCCTTCCCATCTTTCAGCTTGAGATTGGATTCGAGTGCCTTTCTCAGAAGCTCAGCACTCTCTAGAGCTTCCTTTCCTTCCATCTGATCACATAAGCTTCGGAGCTGCTCTTTATCCAGAAACGAACAAAGACTCTCCACATGTTCATCAGTAAGGTCAAGCAAATGCTGAGACGAAATTGGCCCGGAAAGCGTCCGAAGGCGAGCTCGCTCCTTGCGCAGCAGCTTTTTTTCTTTCTCCTTGGATTTTTTCTCAATTAGGGCAGCCTCAGCGGCCCTCTTATCTTCCTCCTCTTTCCGGCGCTTTTCCTCCTCGGCAGCTCTAACTGCCTCCTCCTCCTGCAACTTCTTGGCCAAAAGCTTCGCATCCTTTTTCCTCTGCTTCTCGGCTTTTTCTTCCTCTTTTCTTCTCAAAATTCTCGGGTCCCTCTTATAGGCATTATCGACGAGGGTACGTATGCGCACGTTCTCTTCCTTCCTCGCCTTCTCCGAGAGCTTCGCATTCTGCCTCTCCATCCACCTCTTGTGATCACGGGACTCGGCCTGCTCGAGATCAAACTCATCAGCATGAGGAAATTCCCTCCAGCTCTTGAAGCTGTACCAGAAATTGTAAAAGCTGTCCACTTCTTTTAGTGGCGTTTTATCATCCCCAAGTGGAGGGACAGGTTGGGCCACAGACCAACGCCCGTTCCTCGTGAAGGCAGGCCCAAAAACCTTGAAGAAATCCTGTGGTGCACATTCCTGAGGGACCTCGTCATCAAACTCGTCAGTTGAGTCGTATATTCTTCTCCTGACAGGGTCGATCAGAACCTCGTACGCTTCTTGAATGCCCTTGAAACGGGTTTCTATCTCGTCCTTCTTAGCCTGCTTGGCGGACTCGGTTTCCTCAGAAAGCAAAAGGGCAGCCTGCTTGTCGGGATGATGTCTCAGGGCAGCCTCACGGTAACTTTTCCTGATCTGATCCTCAGTGGCTAGATATCTTAAGTGGCTCAACCCCAACAAGGCATAATGATCCTGTTCACCACCGCTAGTTTTCTTCTTCCCTTTGCTGCTGTATGATTCAGATGATTCCACGTATACACGTTCTTTCTGGTTCGGAGCTTCCTTATCAGTGTCATCTTCTGCATCTGCCTCCACCGAGTGGCCAACTGACCTAAGAGCAGCAGAGTGGAAAGCATGCCCAGCTGGTTCGAGGTTCAGTGCCTTGACCGGAAGGCAATTGGATGATACATTTATTGGTTTACCATCCAAAATTTCTTCAGAGTATGTAATTAATAGCATTCTTTGCCGACATTCCGCAGCCATTACTAGACAACAGAGAAATGGACAAAAAAACTGTCTGTCAGTACAAGAGCAACGCACAAACACATTGACAAACAAGAAACCATGAAATAAAGAAACAACAGGATAACTAAAATTGTTGACATCAACAACAAAGTTCTGCTAACACATATTCGAGAAAATTTATGTAGCACATTCGTCTATAACAACAGTTGCAATCATCAAATTACCACTGGGAGCATTATACATCAGTAATAACAATCGAGAAAATCTAGGAAACCGGAAATGGAAGCAAGGCTGTTGCAGTAAATGGAAAATCGAGATTCAAGTTTCAACATAACAGAAAAAACAACAAAAAATTGGGGAAAAAAATTCATACCGATAGTTGATTGATCGTCGCTGCAGCAGCGGCGACTGAGGCAGCGGCCTCGCGGCTATGGCGGCTAATAGGGAGCGAAGGTTAGGGTTTGGTTTGTGAAGCGCCGTTTAGGGCAGAAGAGGAGAGAGTGCCAGTGTGCAACTCTGTTTTTTTTTTCATTTATTTATTTTTCCTTTACTTTTATATTTATATTATATATTTTGCAATTGATGTCGTGTGAACAGCGAAGTGGGAACAGTTACTTCATACGGATACGGGCGTCTTTGGGACCCGACAGTGGTGTCGGGTCGGACCTACTTTGTATAATTTTACTTGGGTAAATTATACCGTATCTCTTTGTATTATATAAAATTTGCACGTTTTTTCTCTATAATTTAAAAATTACATTGAAAGTATTGTACTTTTGCAAGCGTGAATCACTCAAAATCGTTTAAGATGACAATTGTGGTGCACGCGCCAACTCAGCGGCTATTTCTTCTTATTTCACGGCAGAAATCTGTCAAAGTACAATTCTACTCCTTCACAACCTTTTAAACTGCCAGCGACCCCTGCACCTGTTTCCTCCACCATTTCACCTTATTTAGGCGCAAAAATCACAGGTTCAGCTCCAGATTTTGGCGACAACAAGTACGCAAATTTTTTGTTTTTTTTTTTCTGATATTGTNACGATGTGAGCATTTTTTTATTCAGCAATAAATTCACCGGAATTTTTTTTTAACTTAAATATTATTTTTCTGTAAATTTTTTTTTAAATGAATGTAGGTTGAAAATGTTTTCCTAAAAATCAAGGACGATGAAGAATGAGAACTGGATTTAAGTATAGGCACCCTAAATGTTATTGCAACACGTTTGCTTAAATTAGGGTTGTGATTCCTACAAAAGAAACTGTCGATAAGCTATTTTGCAATTGTCCGTACAATAAATGTGGTTTTTTTTTTGTTTGGCTTAAACCTACCTCGGCGAATTGGGTGAAGTCAAATCATATCCATGAAGATGAAAGTTTGTTATGAAGATGATGATGAAGTTGAATCAACGGTGAATTGGTTGGTTTCGTGATAAAGACGATGTTTGTTAGGCAGCCTTCGCTACTTGCACCGAGGGCTCATTTTCTCCTTTACTAGCGGAAGCGCTAGCACTTCGTCATGGTCTCCGTTTTGCTCTGGACTTAGGCTTAAAGGTGCATGCGGTGTTGACATACTCCTTGGAAGTCATTGGCGGCATTGCGAACTTGGAGGATTTGGACCCTCTCTTTGAGGTGTTTACGGATATTAAAGGTCTTTTAACGGCTTTAGACTGCAGTTCGTGTTGCCATGTTTATTGGAAGGACAACGTGGTGACCCATAATATAGCTCATTCGACGATCTCTTCACATTGTTCTTATTATTGGAAAGACTCTCTTCCTATTCAGTTATCTTCTAGTTTTAATTAGTTGGTATGCAGTTTTTTTAATAAAAAAAAATATAAAATAGTTATAATCACCTCCTCATTTATATTTAAGTTGTGGGCATTTTTTATATTTCAAAAAGACAAGTGTTGTATGTACAAAGGGGACACTTGTCGCCTTTTACAAGTGAAAAAAAAAAAAGATAAGTGTCACATTTTTGGAAAGTTAAAAAATTAAATTTATATAAAAAATAACATAAATAATTGATTTAGACGGGTCCTAAATAAGAGAGCGAATGTAATCGAACCTTCGCCTTAACCCGGACGACGAGAATCGAAGTCGCTGAAAACGGAAAGAAGTTCCTTTCCCACACCGGTTCCATATTTCGCTCTTGTTCCAAATCCATAGATTTCTGTATCTTTCAGCTGCTGTAATCTAACAGAGGCAAAATTTTGTAATCAATTTACTTTACCTTTTTAGGTCCCCAAAAACCCAAAAGGAGAAGGAAAAAAAGAAAAAGAAAAATCAAGAACCGAGTGCGATGCAAAGGGTTGTTGACAATCTTTTGGCTGTTACCAAGGAGTAAGTTGATTGCTTTTGATTTCACGCATTTGAAATGGTGAATTTTATGGTGTTTAAGGTAGAAATGTTGAATTTTGCTGATTATTATGATTTGATCTTTTAGTTAGTTGCCTAGTTAGTTGCCAGATTTGATTATGTGTAAACAAACCTATGCCTGTATATGTATATGTTTACCTTGGTCAGCTCGGTTCTCCAATTACGGTGGGTGGCTGTATTGGAGTGTGAGTGTTATTTTAGGTGCAAGATTAGGGCCCATATATTGATTTAGCCGAGGACTTAGCAATGGCTCGATTAGATATCGGGGATTTATGGGTATGCTAATTGTCGACGAATACATAATGCGAGCATATATTATATGTACACAGGTGCTGCCGCGTGCACACATATGTATCGACAAAAGTGCATTTCGTAGTATTTAACGTGTGCAAACACACATATGAGAGGCTAACATTCATCACCTTGTTGAAGATTTTTTTTCCCAAGTGTCCGCAGATTTGTGCACTTCTTAGTCCGAGACAGTTATCTTCTTTTCTAAATGATGCATCATCTTTTTTAGATTTTTTTTAACTTCCCTTTTGGGTACAAATTGTCAGGTCTGTGAAGACATTCACTTATGAATCACTGAACAATGTTGTAAGATTAATAAATGGAGTTTCAGCAATGTTATTGGCTGTTTTGCCTGGGAAGGCTTCTATTCTGGAAGGCATTCATGGTTGGGAGCTCAGACCAACTTTCCGTGGGCCGAGACTTCCACGCTGGATGGAGAAGTAAGTTTTTTTCTCTTACCCCTATAGTACTTTTTGAGCATTGCCAGCATGTATCTACTGAATGTTATTTTAACTTGGTTGTTTCATTAATATTTGATATTAAAGAAAGCAAAAGATGTACATTTTTTCATAAGTGTAAAATATTGTTTGAGATTATGCTGATTGTAGGCCTTTTACACGTGCTGGCTATTACCACATTACTATATAAGTTGAGAATTGCTTGTCGGAATTGATTTATACTTGATTGTGGCTATACTATATGCTCGTTACTGGAAAAATGCTACATCACAGAGTGTGTATCTGTGTTATTTTTTACTAACTTTTAATTCATCAGCCTTCTTAAAACATTTTTGTATCTCTTTCAATTCGTCTTTAAAGTATGTTATTTATGCTGCTAAACAAATTTACTTCCAAAATTGGTGCTCAACAAGAAATGTGGTTTGTGACTTTGTGATGTTTAATGCTTGATATCTGCAGTGGCGTATCATCTTTCAATCAGTTCATTCACGAGCTCTCTGTTGATTCTGATTCATCCACAAGCCTAGATTATTCATCTGATGGAGAAGATAGTGGTATTTATCCTGGATCTCCTTTATCACAAAGTTCTCGTGTCTCGAGGGAAAGCAATTTCATCAAACTCAAAAGAACTTGGATATACTGGCTGAGATGCATTCTGTCATGGATTCTGTTTCCGTTGAAATTGCTTTTTGGCGCCCCATATTATATATTTGCTTCGGCTTTCCATAAGGCTTCTAAAGAACCTGCTAAGACAGGAAGTCGTCTTTTGGTTGCACATTCTCCTAGAAGGCTGCAATCTCTCAAGGACCATTTCGTTCAGCGGGCTACTGACCGTAGGCGTGGCATCGTTGAGGTTTGAGTCCATGTTCCTTTCAATCCATTTTATATCTGGATGATGTGAGATCATAAAGTTGCTATTGTGGGGTGCTGAAATCAAAACAATTGTGAAATCTAATGTCTTTCAATGGGTTTATGAATAACTTGTCAAAAATTTCTTCCCTTGAACCCTGAATTTGGATAGGTAATAATTTTCGAAACCTTTGAATGTGGGGATGTGAATTTGAATAAGGAAAGGTATACTTGCCTCCAAACAGAGACATGTACAGGGACGAGTCAGGATCTGTAGATTGCATTTAGGTAGCTATACTATGTAAGTCCCTGAAGAATCACTTTTTTTTTTTAATAGGATCTCCACCTAGCAATTGAGGTGTTCATAGAATCCATGTTTGATGTAGTTAACAAGGCTGCCCACTGTCTTTTATCACCTATAGACACCACCAGAAAAGTATTTCGGTGGTTTTCTTCACAAACAACTGCCAATGAAGAAGCTACTTCAGAGAGTTATGTCAAGACTTCTGTTCTAGCAGATGATGATCCAACTCCTGTTGAAAGAAAAACAAGTTTTCACAATTCTCTCAATACAGATGCTCGGACATGTAAAGATGTAATTACAGAACTTGGGTATGGTTTAATTTTCTTATCTTCTCCGATGCTCTTTAATGGACTGTAAAGTGTAACATTGAAGGAATATGCGTTGCTATGTTGATGTGGGAATATGCTGAAAATTTATATGCTTGCAAATTTCAAGGTATTTTTGTTTTTGGTTGGTGGTTTGAGATCAAATGAAATCAGGCAAAAACTTCTGTTTCTCATGATTATCTCCAGTTGTGAATTGAGTGGTTTTTGATCTGGGGTGTTGTTTTCATAAATGTCAGGCAATAACCATTACTCTAGGAGTTGATTTATTCACGATTATCATGCACCTTCAAGCTAGTAATTAATCTTTATTGCTGACTTATGTATCAACCTCTGTTTATGACTACTCAGCAACGCTTTTAACTCTCGATTCTGTTATAGGTATCCTTATGAAGCTATACGTGTCATTACGTCTGATGGTTATGTACTTCTTCTAGAAAGGATCCCAAGGTTTGTACTGCTAGTTCTCTTTTGGCATAATCTGTTTGTTGAAGCTTCTCTGATGCAGAACAAATTATTAATGATGGTCTATATTGTGCATTGATTCGTGTGAGTTACTTATAGGAGAGATTCACGGAAAGTTGTTTATCTGCAGCACGGAATATTAGACTCATCTATGGGGTAAGTCATATTTGACCACTTTTGGTACTGATGTGATACTGCTTTATAGTTGATTTCTTTGGTCCATGCCTGGATTTGGAAAGACAATATCGATGAATGATCTTTTCACAAGGCTATCTACTATAAAATCCCTTCTGGATTCTATCACGTGATGCCTTTTTTTAGAACTTTTCTAATGACCTTCCTTCGGTGATTGTCATTCCTAACACATATGATGTTCTTGAATATAAATGCCATTTTGGATACATTCGATTTTAGATTATACTAACAGGCTGCCTTTCAAAGACACCCTCCAATCATTTCTTAAGATAGAAATGAGGGTAAAAATTGGATGAACTATTACTCGTACGATAACTGAAGGAATTCCTTTCACAGTAAACATTTAGTAATGAAATTTTGCTCTGATGAGATGCACAGAGCTTATGTAAGTTTACTTGAAATGTCCAATTTAGATTTATTTCTTGCTGCCAACCCTGTCTTTAATTTCTCGACTGCATTATTTATTCAAGGTGATCGACAAGAGTACTTGAAATCCTGTTATCATTTGGTTATTGATTTATCTTTTGAATAGCTTAATTTCATTATAGTCATCTTCTTAACGTACTTTCCGTTTTACAGCTGGGTATCCAATGGAGTTGTTGGTTCTCCAGCTTTTGCGGCCTTTGATCAAGGTTCTAACCTTCGTTCTCTGTTACTTATATGCAGCCCACATTGGGCCACGGTTTAATAACTCATTGAATTTTCTAAAATGGTTTCTTCCTCCCATTTCAGGTTATGATGTTTTCCTTGGGAACTTCCGTGGGTTGGTCTCAAGGGAACATGTCGACAAAAATATCTCATCCCGTCAGTAAGTGTCTTAGCATTTCAACATTCAGCCACCAGATACTTGAGATGACTTTACTCCTACATCTAGAAATTGAGGGGGTGTTTATATAAATTTTTTCAATCCATACTCAATCCACAATTAACTCAATTTCAACATAACTCCACTATCCTCAACATTATCAATATAATTAAATAATACCAAACAATCTTTCTTACATATTACATCAATTTTAGTTCACTATTCATCCACTCACATAATTTTAACTAACCATCACTTCACATCTTATCTTTCCTACTTTCACATAAAATCAACTCTAATTATTTTATTTTAAACATTATTTTAATATAAACTCAAAATCCCACTAACAACAACTAACCATACCAACTTTTTAAAAATTAACTCTCCAAAAAAAAAAAAAAAATCGTTTTGAGTGGATATATTTGTATCCAAGCACGCAGAAGGAGCAGCAGACAACTTAGTGTTCCTTTACTTTTGTTAACAATAATTGAGCCAACTGCAGTATTTCTTAATTTTTTTTCATATATGTTGGTGAAAATGATGATCCATTAGAGTAAAATTTCCTTGTCAAAACTTATGTTAAAGTAGCATCTAGTGTTAAATTAAATTGAAAACTTGCTTAACAGACCAGACATATGTACAGACATTTCCTTGTCATGGGGGANAAAAAAAAAAAAAAAAAAGTCTTAATTACTGTGCAACTTCTCAAAACGACACATACGACACTTATTAAAAATAGGATGGAGTATTAATTAAGAGCATATTTTTAATAAGTGTCGTTTTGAGAAGTTGGACAGTATTAAGAATTTTTTTTTTGCCAATAACCCAATTAATGAGGATAGAGATGCATGTTTTGAAAAAAAGATGAAGAGTAAATATGAAAAGACGTAGTGTATTTATCAACTAGACAAGGGTAATATTGGAAAAAAAATGTGTACAAAACATCCAGAACATCATTTATTTAGTTAATTGTAGATAAAGCCAAAATGACATTTAAAAAAAAAATAGGAGGTAGTATTAAAATTACTTTCCCTTTTCAGATACTGGAACTACTCGATCAACGAGCACGGCACCAAGGACATACCCGCGATGATCGAGAAAATCCACGAGATCAAAACCTCCGAGCTGGGCCCGGCCCATCCCAACCCCGAGCCCGACCCCCAGCCCTACAACCTCTGCGCCATCTGTCACAGCCTCGGCGGTGCCGCCATCCTCATGTACGCCGTGACCCGCCGCCCGCACCGCCTCTCCCGCCTCATCCTCCTCTCCCCAGCTGGCTTCCACCACGACTCGGGCCCCGTCTTCACGCTAGTCGAGCACCTCTTCCTCCTCGTAAGCCCTATCTTATCCCTTCTCGTCCCCGCCTTCTACATCCCGACTCGATTCTTCCGAATGCTCCTCAACAAGCTTGCCCGAGACTTCCACAACCTGCCAGCTGTCGGCGGCCTCGTGCAGACCCTCATGAGCTACGTGGTCGGTGGGGACAGTTCCAACTGGGTCGGGGTCCTCGGTTTACCTCACTACAACATGAACGACATGCCTGGGGTGGCGTTCAGGGTTGCCCTCCACCTGGCGCAGATGAAACGGGCCGGAAGGTTCCGGATGTTCGATTACGGGCCGGGCCCGAACATGGAGGCGTATGGGGCCCGCGATCCGCTGGATGTTGGGGAATGCTATGGGTGTATTGATGTCCCGGTGGATTTGGTGGCCGGGAGGAAGGATCGGGTGATAAGGCCGTCTATGGTGAGGAAGCATTATCGGTTGATGAAGGAGGCTGGGGTGGAGGTTTCGTACAGAGAGTTTGAGTATGCGCATCTCGACTTCACGTTCTCTCATAGGGAGGAGCTGCTTGCGTATGTTATGTCGAGGCTGTTACTAGTCGGGCCGGAGTCTTGTGCGCGGAAGTGTGAGTGAATGTCAGTTGTGGCCTTTTTATGTCTGTGTAAAATGTGTTTGTTGTGTGCGGCTTGGAATGTCCGGCTATTAATGGACCTTCTGCAAGTTGTTGTGTTCTGGTGTTTTGTATATGGTGATCAAGGGTGGGTGGTTTTGGATGAATAGACAAGTGGATGTAAATTTTATGTTGATGAGTTTATGACTAGTAAGATAATATTCGTGTAACTTGTCACTTGTGTGTGGTTATCATTTGAATGTGGAGTGCGATTAAATATGTGAAGATGATAAAAAAACATGCAATGTATTGGCAGATGCTTGATCCTATCGTCTGTTTGTATCACAGTGGATAGGATTGCAAATGAACTGAGACGAACTTGGGGTATTGGTTGAAAACTTAAGTTTGCATTTGATTTGAAGAATCTAACAATGTCTCTCAATAGTCCATTTTTCCAGCTAAGATTTCAGTTTTATGGCTTAGTCGTGGACTCGTGGGCATTGGTTGAAAACTTAAAAGTTTGCATTTGGATATGAGGAATCTAACGATGTCTCGCAATCATCCATTGTCCAGCTAAATTTCCAGTTTTATGGCGAAGTTGTGGCTTTAGAACCTTCGCCAGGCATATTTCCAGCAAGGGGGGGGGATTCAATTGAGGATTGGAATGTAATCTTGGATTCTTGAAGAAAAAGGTTTTGGAAAATTGCGATATTCATATTGATCCCATAAGATATTCCATTCGTTCAAAAATAGTGACAATGTTGCAATTTTGGTCTCATACAATATTAATGTTGCGGTTTTGTTCCCATACAAAATCAATATTTCATAATTGGTCCCACTCTTAATTTATTTAGCTGATATCCTAGCTACTTCGTTAGTTGCCGTTTAAAGAGAATTAGTACGGTACTCGTGTACTATACGGAAACATGGAAAATAATTTTTTATATAATCAAAAGTGAAAGTAATTAAAAAAATGTTTATTATTAATTATAAAAATAGATATACACTAAAAAAAATATACACATAGGCATATACACCCTACAAAAATAATAATAATAAATAATATTTTTAGTAAAATTTAAATATTTTTAGTAATCAAATTCAATACTTTTTATCTCAAAATGAGACCAACATTACAACACTTTTTACTTTTAGTAATAAAATTCAATACTTTTTATCTCACGTTAGGATCATGAGACCTGTTGATATCCAATTTAGCCTCGATTAATAAAAATGCTACACGTGGATATGCATTAAATAAATATAAATGTAGCAGGTTCTCAGCTGATTATTTAATATCGACTGAGTTCCGAAGTGCCCAGATCATCCACGTTCGAGCCGAGCAGAATTAATATCATCAGTCCGACCTAGATATGGAGAAGATCCGAGTCCGACAGGCACAATAATTGCCAATAAAGTAGACGTCATTCGAAGTCGTCAAGTGGCCGTCAAGTGTCATGAATCGGGCCCCACGACGTCATATCACATTAAATACTAGTGTACTCCTTTTATCTGTTTCTTACTTGCCTCACTTGCTCCACTTGTAAAAAGAAAGACATGTATATAGTATAGATAGATGGCGCTGTAAAAGAGGGGGGAATGAGGAGGCACTATTCATTCATCCCTTCTCTACAAAATTAATACAAAACATTTTTTAATTTTCCATCTTCAATATACATAATCGATCCTACACCGATTATTCACGGAATAGGGGTGTACTTTTTCGTTCATTAAATCCGTTTATCAACAAAACCAACATTACAATTTTCTCAAATGTTTTTCATACATGTATGTTTCATAAGAATATAAGGTTAAATTTTGAGGATAAATTTAGTTTTAACTTATATTTTAACGATTTAAACCAACAAAAAAAATGATTGATTTAGAAAACATTAGTAATCAAAGCTAATTAAATTGAAATTTCAAAATTAAACAGTAATTATAATTTGGGTAATAAAATTGTTTTTTTTTTTCCTTACCTAAAACTTTTTAATATATAAGCTTATATATGTTTTTTTTTTTCGAGTATAAATTAGGGGAGGGTGTACCAATGAGGATGAAATAGTGAAATGAATAAAATAACATCCGCGTTATTCCCGAAATCTTCTTTTTCGGCGGTGGCGATTGGCCGCCGCCACCTCTTCTCCGGGTCCATCTTCCCTACTTCTCACGTTCACGGTCGATATACCAGTAGAATTAGCTTTTACAGAAAACCCATTCATGTGGCGATGGCTTCCATATCTACAGAGGCAGAAGAAAAGCAAAAGCCTTGGCTAATTGTCGGCCTCGGCAATCCCGGAAAGCGATACGCCGGCACACGCCACAACGTCAGCATTCTAATCCGCATACGTTTTACTTTGGTCTCTGTATGGATGAATTAATTAAATAGCAATTATATCCATTGAGATCTTTGTGCCTTGTGTGTGTGTGTGTGTTTCAGGTCGGCTTTGAATTGATTGATTATATAGCTGAGGAGGAGGGAATTGCAATGAGCACCGTCTCCTTCAAATCTACCTTTGGAAAAGGTTCTTATTTTCTTCATTCTCAGTGTTCATTTCAACTTTGAGATAGAATATTTTTGTTGTCGTCTAGTAATACTGTTGATGTAACAATTAATAGCATATGTTATGTTGCAACAGTTTTTAACAACAGAGATTATGCCTGGTTGGGTTGAGAGATTGAATGCAGAATGCTATTATCTAACACTTTTAATGGGTTAAAATTACAAATATAGTGGGTGGAACTTAACAATTCAGAACGTGGGCACTTCCATTTTGATCCTCTGGGCTCTGTGTGAAATTGTAACCTGAAATGCTCATTATTTTTGCACTTATTAGAGCTGATTCGTTACAATCCAAATAGTGAAATTCACTTTATTTATGGAGGATGCATAACCGAGGGTTTCCTGATTGGTGGATTCCATTAGCCTTTGTCTTTCATGGAGGAAATAGGTAGAAAATTTACTCAGCCGGAAGTTTATATAAAAAATTGTATTAGCTTTCACAGGAGCACTCCTTTTTGTTAAGTTGGCATTTGATTCACAAACTTTCGGCAAATATGAAAATCCATATATATATTTATTTTATATATGGTTACGTATTGAGAGATAGTCGACCCCACTTAGTGGGATTTTAACGGCTTGTTGATTGATTGATTGAATGCATATATACTGAGAGAAAGGCCTGAAGTGATCCTTTTAAATATAATCATGTAGCTTCGGCTAGGTACTTACATGTAAATATTTTGTGAAAACAAATTGTAGATATCTAGCTATTAGTTAGCTCAAGGCATACAATTTAGTTATCAAGCAGATGATAATGTTTTACTTCATAGATTAGACCTTTACGTAGGTCTCCTCCTCTGTCTCTCTCCCACACTCATGTTCTCTTTCTGTTATGTGGTTAGGTTTTATTGGAGATGTTCCTGTTATGCTTGCTAAACCGCAGACTTTCATGAATGCTAGTGGTGAGTCTGTAAGTTCACTTCTCCCTAAAGTCTGACTATGTAATCTGTTAATGATTATTGGTTGAGTTATTTCCTTTTTACAGGTTGGTGCTATTGTTTCATACTATAAGATCCCATTGAATCAAGTTCTTGTGGTAAATTATCTACAACCACTTACGCACTATACTAATATATCACTCTGCAGGCTTTGTGCTAATCACATGCATCATTTCTTAGATGTTCGACGATATGGATCTTCCTTTTGCGAAGTTGAGATTATTACCGAAAGGTGGACATGGAGGGCATAATGGGTATTCACTATATCATTGAGATGGTTGCCTTTGTATCTACTGTGAATATTGATTAAATGCGTTAGATCTTGAATTTACCTTGCTTAAGTTGTGCAGCATTCTCAAAGTAGCTTTTGTTCTCGATGTGAAAATATTTCTTTGAATTCTTTGCATAAGCTGAGTCTCTGTTTTACAATTATTGTAAGGTATATAATGATATTCCTCTATTCCTCTGAAATTGCTATGATAGGATGAAAAATATCATAAATCACTTGAAAGGCAGTCGGGACTTTCCTCGCTTGCGAATAGGTATCGGAAGACCTCCGGGGAAAATGGACCCCATAAACTTTGTTATGCGGCCGTTTAACAAGGACGAACGCGAAGAGGTATGTTATTCACTGTCTTTATTGTTTGCATATGTTGTCCGATGCAACTTTTATTTTTGCGCAGCCAATAGATATGCTCACATTGGTGATATTTTTTGGTTTCCAGTTGGATTTTACCTTCCAAACCGGATTGGAAGCAGTTCGGATGCTCATGACAAACGATTTCAACAAAAGTGCAACTTTTGTGAACAGCACAAAAAATCGCATGGAACAAGTATAACTAGTAATATTAACTTCTTCACTACCATTCATTGGTGAAATTTCACATCTTTCACCTTTTTCTCATTGGGAAAGCTTATGAAGCATATTGTTTTGGAAAGTTGCTTGGGTCTCGTCTTTAATTATTCAGCAGCATGTTCGTGACAACACGATGTTTTGGAGGGGCTAGATATTGTGAAGCAGAATTGCAGGATTTTTCCTAGAGCATTTTCTTTTTTCTTCACTGCCATTATCAATCAACGGTGTGCCACTCATATGGGTGGCATGTACTAAACCACCATCAACTATATCATTCTCTATGCTTATTTATCAGGTATTTTTATTTTTATTTTTATTTTTTTTGGTGTTTGGTACTTTTCTAATATCTAAATTATGTTATTTTATTGCATTGAACCTGTTTTAAAAATCATTTTTATGATCTTATCTATCCAATTATTTTTCTTTTTCATCGTCTGGAAATCCCAAGTCATTAGCATGATGAAATTAATTGCACCACAATATCTAAACAGAACACTGAAAAATTAAGGATCATTTCATCAAATATTAATGTGATAATTAACAATATCGTGAGACTAGCGCAAATTAAAACATCTCAATTTGAGAAGGTATTGCTCGAATTCAGGATCATGTAATCAAATATAAAACATGATAATACAATATATCTCAATCTGAGAAGGCATTTGCCTGCTCAGCTTACAGCTTAAGAAAACAGGGAAAGAAGTGAAAGATGTAACAAATCACAGAACCAATGAAATTCAGGGTTCAGTAAGATTTAAGGACTCAAAACACTTTATCCCAGATACTATAACAGCCTGCAACGTATCGAATGGCAGTGATCAAGATTTAAGGAAAGTATCAAAAGGCAGTGATCAAGATTTAAGGAAAGTATCAAAAGGCAGTCATCAAGATTTAAGGTCTCAAACACTTGATTGCAGATCACTATAACAGCCTGCAAGGTATCGAAAGGCAGTCATCAGCAAAGCAATAATTTCATTTAAAAGAAATAATCAATCCTAATAATGATAATGTTGACACATGAATTGCCAGTGATTTTTCACAGACTATTAGAATTACAGAACTGCATGTGATTCGTGTAATACAAATGGGCAGCAGCAATTTACACATGCAACTTATAAACAATAAATAGAATGCCATTTTTGCTTCGTCTAAATTTTACAGCAAAAGGGAAAAGGGAGACTTCATCAGAAATATGCAAGAAGACCACAACATCAAGGACAAACAACAAAAGGGATTCGATATGCGAAAATCAATGAAGTATCATGCCTGAAAAACCTGTATAGTCATAATGAAATACAAATCGAACATTATGACCTTCTTGGTCAACCTTCAGCACTAGAAAAGCTCTATGAAATACTAATTGGGGCCAGCATCCATTACTCGTTACATGACTGAAAGTTAGCTAATAATTTGATTGTAACCACAAAACCTGATGTTACAAAAGGGGAATAGTTATTAAATTTCTTGAAACAACAAAACTGTCCCTAATGCTGGTCCAGTTCATTAATACCTTTTTGTGGTCACTTAAATATACCCATTATAAATATTCAAATACAGATATCTCCATAATCTGCAAGCAGCAAGCACTATTGAATATATGAAGGGAAATGAATACAAAGACGTTCAGGTATATGATTTATGATAACTTCCAACAATCAGAAGTGGTCACAGAAAAAAAATAAAAATAAAAAAATAAGAACAACAATAACGTTGGTTTGCTGCTACCAAAGCCCAACACAAATTTCCAATATGAGCAAAAGGCCAAGTGGCAGTTCGGATGGTTTTCCTAATATGAGTAATGAAAAAGAACAAAGAAAAAATTTGATCCATTTTTACCACCAACTATGTAACCATCTCATTTCTTGTATTTTCATGTTTATCTAAAACGGCAGGCTATGACATTACTAATTACTGGCTATCCAACTCTTGCTCATATATCACTCAATCAGTAAATAGAATGATGTACAACCTTCATTGTCGCTACTAAATTACTATTGGTTTTATTGATTCAAGCTGTGTTTCTATCCACCTTTTCAAGATTCTCGTATGTGAAAATCCAGGAAGGACTTTAAAAAAATCAATATTTTGGCAATGCAGATTCAGTTCACGGTGATAGAATAAAAATTCCAGTCACAAGCAACTTCTGGAACAAAAAGGAGAAATGTTCGGAAGCACCAACTTTTGTCTTTGTGTTACTAAAATGCCGCCCTTGCATTACACGACCAAAAAAGCAACCGATAATTACAGCCAACAGGCGGTATATCGGTTTTCACAAATGCAACTGCAATGTTGGCTAATGGTTAGACAACTACTTTTTCTTACGAAAAATGCGTACTTATCCTATGAAATATTATACGTTTGTTTGTGTTGTATCCTAAAGTATGATATTTGAACGTGAAAGTATGTACATATGTGAAAGAGTGGCCTCACAGAAGATTCGGAAAGGGAAAGGTGTGTTTTTGCAAATCTTCCAACAAATCATACTTATCCCACCCTTATTCTCACATTTAAACTGTCCATTACCCTTAAATTCCTTACAGTTTTACCAGAGAATTCAGATTCTAAAATGCATCATATAACTGAAAAAAAATAAAACGAAAACCAAAATTAATTTGAGAGAAGAATAGGAAGAAGAGAAAATGCATACCTTCTGCAGAACTCTGATGTGTACCTAAATCCATTGTAGCAGACAAACCACATCAACACAACAACCAGTGTATCTATCAACGTTAAGGTACTTATAGTCGAACCATATCACACCAAACAAAATACGAAAAAAAGATACAGAGCTAGAAATATCCGAATCAAATCAACTACCCTTCAAGAAATTTTCTAGTTCTAAGGTATTTCAATCAAGCAAACTGATTTTAAACAAAACCCTGAAACTTTGAAACATATCTGACGAATGTTAAAAAATAAATAAGTTAATAACTGAACCAATATTAGGTAAAAACGAAGGATACTGAAGAGTAAACGCTCCCACCAGTCGAGCATGTAGAGTCCAAAAGTCACATTGTACAGGTAAATTTTGCGCTGAACCCAATTCATTCCTTCTTCTTTAGGGTACTTTAACCTTCTGATCTATCGGTCGCCTGTATAAAAACCCATCAGCTCAGAAATTGGATAAAATAAAACGTATATAGAGGTATGGAAATTTTGAAAGTCGATTGATTGTTCATCTTTGTGGGATTCACCTCTGGTGATGGCGGAAAACTGGAAATCCGTAGAACAATACGTTTTGTCTGATTTTAATACGGATTCATCCACAGCACGGGCCGGCAGCTTTTGCGGGCCCGGTCTGACACTTGACAGTGACCCAGTGGCCTTCAGATCATAGGGACACGGGTTCAATCAATTAATTAATTTGCAATAATTAAAAATAAAAATTATATATGTACAATATTTTATTTCATGAATTTAGAGAAAATAAATAAAAATAAATAGTGTATAAACAAAATTACATATCTCAGGACTCAAAGTAGAATCGAAAAAAAAAAGACTCGAAGTATTGATATTATTATTATTATATTATTTCCCACAGAAATAATATATTAAAACTTCTTAAATATAATAAAAATGAAAATATTTAAAAAATAATGATAAATAAATAATTTTTATTTTAATTTTATACCTGAAATTCGTAATATTATTAATTCTCATTTAAAAAATTTACTATATATTATAAGTATATAGAAATAATTTCAAAGCTAAAATTAAAGATATTTTGACGAAAATAATAGAGTAAGTAATTTATAGTAAATTCATACATCAATGTTTTAAAAATATTTTAGCTCATCATCACTATTTACCACATAGACATAACTTTATTTAATACTACCTCCTATTCTGTTTAAATGACATTTTGACTTTATCAACTATTAACTAAATAAATGACGTTTTAGATCTTTTGTAAATATTTTTTCATTATTATCTCATTTAGCAAATAAATACACTACGTCTTTTCATATTCACTTTTCATCTTTTATCAAAACATCCATCTTTATTTTCATTAATGCGGGTTATTATTAGAAAAAAAAATTCTTAATTACTGTGCAACTTCTCAAAACGACATTTATAATGCATAGGAGGCAGTACATATAAAAAATAGTAATTGATAAATAAAATAAAACTTCCAGTCATGTCAAGGTTGTCGGGTTTTGATAGGATCACCACAGACGGAGTGACCAATCCACTTGCTTTTTGTCAAACGGGGGCAATGCGGTCCCACACAGGTGAAACACACCATAAGAGGGTTAGCCCAAATGAAACCCAAGTACGGTTTCATCCCAAAACCAATTGGTGATGGGAGGAGTAACCCACTAGGCTTATAAACTAGACTCATCTACCCTATCAAATCAATGTGGGACAACTCACAAGTGATATTCCAACATATTTTCTCCCCGAGTTGTTTTCAAGTTAGTTTCTTAATTAATAAAGTTGATAAACTTATTTTCATTTGTTTTCCCTATAAACTTTGTCAGTTACACAATGAATTTAAGTGATAATAAGTATAGGGCAAACACTTGAAGACATTATAATATAGGGCAAACTGATAGGGATTATATTACTGACTCAGATGAATCGAACGAGGACCCGTAAGATGAAGGTTGAATAGGTCGAGCCGGATGAGAGGGATCGTGGGAGCTCGAGGTCGAGTGGGCGTCGACCAACGCAAATGGTCGAGCGTGAACCGGGGGTCGACCGCACAGCAGTAGCGAGGTGTGTCGAATGTCGACCCTTATGTCCGAGGCTCCAAGCATCAACCGTTTCTACACTAGGTCGATAGATACCCAAGTTAGAAGGCAGTCCGTAAGGTTAAACGCTATATATATACATTAAGTTTATAGGTTGCGGGTAAGACTCATTTATTACATTTACTGCGACATTGATTACGAACATTTTCCTCTCTCTAATCTGAGACACTAACTTGGGCGTCGGAGGGCCTTGCGTCGGAGTAATTCCGGCTCTCTTGCAGGTACCGGTGAACATTTGAGCTTGGACCAAACCGAGTTAGCCAGTTCATGTCATATCGAGAAGAACCCTCTAAAAGACCGGAGTTACTCGTCTTGGACCATATCAAATTGGGGCCGTCTGTGGGAATCCCTAACTCAAATTGGGTCACGTGATAAAGACAAAAATAAATAAATAAAAAGGATAAAAGGTCATCCTAATTGGCGATTCAAGTCACAACGTGACCTTGGGTTGCGACTGGTTTTTTCTTGGGAATGAGTCATTTGTCTCATTCTTATTGGACAAGTGTATTTTGTTGTTTTAAAAAAATAAAAAAATACTAAAATTCATATTTTTTAATTATCTGCAAATAGAGATCACACTTGATAGGTTTTGGAACACAATTGTAATTTTTAAATAAATTAAAATAAAATAAATATTTTGATTGAGTTGGGTTGGAGATAAAGATAAAATCGTGTTGCAAAGTTGGGTTGTGTAGATGGAAGATAAGGAAATAATTTTTTATTATTAAGTTGGATTGAGTTAGGTTGGGGATAAAGATGGTCTAAGAAAAATGTCTTTTTCTTCTCAAAGCCTTTAGGTGATAAAAATTATCATGTTAGTAGATTTTTTGACGGATCTTGTCTATTGTGTCTAAAAGAAACAAGACATGACATTATAGTGCTACGATATATATGTTATGAGAAATGCTAAGGAGCCAACAGTTGGCTCTTTATATGTTATATCTTTAACACAGATGAATGTTCTAAAACTCAAGAAAAACTTGAGTCTTCACAATGTTACTGATCACGACTACTGTCATCATATGCTCAATTTCTCTAAGTGGATTGAAAGTATTGGTGATGGAATTATTGGAGAATCAATTGATGGTTATGCTAACATAGAAATTTCATCAGATGTCTTGCTACATTTTGTTAGCGATTCTATTGAAATAATTATTGATGATATGTTTCCAATGTTTAAAGATGAAATTGATGATCCAAGTTATTTTAAGGAACGGGGGATAATCTATAAACGAGTACATGACTTCGTTAAATATGTATGAGGGGTATACATTATTGAGTTATGACTTGCATTGAATTCGAATGGCGGTGTTAGTTTTTTACATGATCTGCAGACTCTAGAATTCTTGAACAAAATTAAATGTGACCACGCGTCGCAACGCGGCAAAATTAAAATTTATATTTTCCTCGACTAACCTCTACTAACTAGTAGTAGTGGCGAGCAAGGGTCGATCCCACGAGGAGTGTGAATCAAATCGTGAATTTTCTTGTATTAATTGAAATTATAAAAAGCGATAATGGGGGGGTTTTGATTTAATAACTAAACTACCTAAAAATCTAATGAAATAAATAAAATCTAAACAAGAAAATACAAATAAAAATAAATAAATGAAGAGAACTTTCTAGTTCACGGTTCCGTCTACACTCTCGACTGACTCGTCTAATCAATTTTAGTATCAAATCTCGTTATCTCATGAAATTACTAGTCCTAGGTAACGACACGGTCTGTTACCCGAATTTTTCCTTATTTTTAATTTAACCGCGAGACGCTCGACGATTAAACCTGACTTCTTGTACAGTCCAGAAAAACGTTTTCAAGATTTAATACAATTAGCCGCTTTATGAATTAGTGAACTAATTAGTAACTCAACCGCATTCGTTCACTTAATTAGGCCGTGTTATCCCCGGTAGTTACCATCTTCTGGTTACCTCTTATGAATTAAACACAACAACAATTACGGATTGCAGGTCTAACTCAGATGTAGATATGAAAAGCCTAATCTAGTTGATCAATCTAAACAAGACTAACACATCATGGTGAATTATTCAAAATAACACAAGCAATTCCAAAAAGATATTAAAATCATCAACCATAAAAATCAATCAAAACATAGTCAATCGTAGGGTTCGACTTCCCCAGAACTAGAAATAAACTAGCCTAACATAATAATAAAAATAAATAATAAAAGAGAAAAGAGAGAGAATAAAATTCTCCCTCGTGTGCGGGTGCGGTCTCCCTCCGCCTTTGATCGGGTTCCTCGTATCTGTCTTTTCCTCTGCTCTGCTCCGTGCGTGAGTGTGGCGGCTGTTATTCTCCGTGAATATATCTCCTCTGTTGCTGCGTATATATTTTCGTCTCAAAGTGTCCAGCCCACTTTTTCTTATATACCAAGTCAAACAAGGCAAATAAATTCCCTTTTGACTTATTCTTCCCAGCATATCAGCCCATTTAACACATCCTCCACGTAGAAATTAACACCTGGGCCAATAATATTCACTTCTATGGGCCAAATTATATTATTTTCCTCTTGCCATAATACGTAGTCGTATGGGCTGGATAGATACATGGGCCCTGTTGATCCAGTACGAGGTGCTATTGGGTTAGTACGGGGCAGTACGGGACACCCCCATACTGTCTTCTTCAACCTTCCTTCGACGTCTCGTCGTCCATAAAAACACTCTAATATCCTAAAAATAAATAATGAAAATATCAAAGCACCAGAATCCATATAATAAATAAATAAATCGAAAAACAATATAAGTGCGACAAAATTAAGCATATAAAAATACGCTAATAATTCGACTTCCCCGGAACTAGAAATAAACTAGCCTAACATAATAATAAAAATAAATAATAAAAGAGAAAAGAGAGAGAATAAAATTCTCCCTCGTGTGCGGGTGCGGTCTCCCTCCGCC